TCCTTTAGGTATTTATACACAGTTGCCCCTTCTCGAGGCTGAACATGCCCATCTCCCTCTGCCTTTTCTTGTGAGAGAGATTTTCCAGATTCTTGACCTTCCTTGGTGAGGAAGAACTTCTGTACACTGAGGGTGGCAGGGCACTGGGACAGGCTGCCCAGGGAGGGCATGGAGTCTCCTTCTCTGGAGACATTCAAAGCCCACCTGGACACGTTGCTGTGTCACCTGCTCTAGGTGACCCTGCCTGGGCAGAGGTTGCACTAGGGGATCTCCAGAGGTCCTTCCAACACTAACAGTTCTGTGATTCTATGATTCAATGTGCCAACCCGTGGAACAGCTGCACAGCCCTCCCCCACAGCAGCTCTCCACAGGGCCTGGCATTTGTCCAGCCAAAATCTCTGGGGCTGCACCCCCAGCCCCTGCACCCCCTCGACCTACCTGAGCTCCCCCCATTCTATCAATCAGCCTCAGTGTTGCTGCATCCCACATAATGCTCAAAGTCTGTTATGAGGCTACTTCGTGTTAGTTTGCTATTGAATTACAATGCCTCAAGCTAGGAGCTTTAGGAAGCATAAGCTTTAGTATTAAATAAAAACCTATTCAGTCTACCTTGACATCAGCTCCCCATGCTGCACATTGTTCATTTATTTTTAAGCTCCACGATGAGGGAACCAGAGCTTTGGTTAAAATTACCCAATTAATCATTGATACTTCGGGGAATGTGTCTGCAGTGAGGGCTTGAACAAGGGGAGCCAGGGTGTGCCCCACCCTCTGCCAGGAGGGTGGTGAGGAGGTCCCTGGGCAGGTGCGGGTGGCATGAGGGTGATGGCCAGGGGCTCGGGGATGGTGGCCACAGCAACCAGCAGAGGGGGGGGTCCTGCCTGCCCATCCCAGCAAAGGTCGACTGTGAGCAGAGACTGCATCGATCACACCTGCAGGCGTGACCATCCAGCTGGGCAGGCTAAGGAAGAGGTGGTTGTGCAGAGCAGAAACTGCCCCATGGTCCATCTCTGTGCCATGCTGGGTCAGCACCACCAAAAAACCTGCAGGGCAAAAAAGTCTTGCCCAGCAGAACAAGCCATTCTTTTTCTGCCTGTTTTTTCTGACCTAGAGGCCTGGAAAAGGTGGGATCCTGGCCGCCTCAGGTTGGTCCCTGACAGAGACAAGAGTGACAGCAGCCATACAACTGCCCCATCTCATCCAGGCTTGCACTGCTCTGCCAAGCTGCTGGCACACACGTCCAGTCTCCTCTCCTATGCCTCAGCGATGGCCAGAGGCTGGGAATGTCTCCCCCTCCTCTGGCAGCAGCTCTTGCATCCCTGCTATCATGATGCTTCCTTCCGCTTCCCAAGGATGCTTCCCTCAGCTTTCCCAATTGCCCTCTGCCCTGCTCTGGGTGATAAGGCACTGTCGCTGCCCTCTGGCACAGGGACACGCTGTCAGGCAGGGTTTTGCTGAGTTGGACACACTCGGTCCATTGTGTCTCCCCAGGCTCTGTGAGCTTTGCTCCATTACCTTACCATAGGGAAGCACCCAATGGCACCAGAACCATTAGTTCTGGCTACACCAAAGCCTGTTTTCAGTGCCAAGCCTGTGGCCTGTCAGGAAAGCTCAGCCTACACTTCCCAATGCCAATCGTGGAATGTCTGTCTGTTCCAACACATAACCCCAGAAGATTCATTGAAGACAGCAAGGATGACTAAAAGTGTGAAATGACTTTTCTATGAAGGAAAATCGAATAGACAAAAATCCTTCAGCCTGGGAAATAGCTGGGGGGGAAGGGGGGTAAGGCAGAGGTCTGCAAAATCCTGCACTGGGAGGTGACTGGGGAAGACTTATGTCCCAGCTCTTCCACTGTGTCCCACCAGCCAGGGGCATGGAATGAAACTGATTGGTAGACACTTTGAAACACGAAGAAAGATTATTTTTTTTTCATAGAGTGCATTATCAAACTGTGGATTAGAGAGCACAGTGGCATCCAGGACATGAACTTTCACCGATTAGATAAGAGCCAGCAAATACAAGGATGTGACTGCTGCAAAGGGAACCCCAGAGACACAGACAGACAGAACCAGAAAAGTTACACAAGGGAAGTATAAATCTCCTGTTGTCAGAAATAAACTCCTGAGGAGTTTACAGGGATCCAGTACAGCCATTTTCCTATTTTTGTTAGTGTTTTTCTGTGTGCAATTAAGCAAGTAAATCCATCTAACTTCCATGTGTGTTTATCACTTGCATGTTTGCTCCCTGACTTTGCTGCTCTTACCCACAGAGCTCTCCCTCCTGCAGGGATTCAGATCCACCTCTGCCACAGGAGATCTGGCAGCAGCCTCCTGGGAGACACTGGGATCTGCCTTTTTCCCACCGCTGGGAAGCATTTCCCTCTCAGGCAGTTGCTGGGTGGCAAAACACATCCCCAGAGCATTAGTGTAATGGACTGTGCCGGCCGGAAGGTGTGTATCCTGTTGCCATGTGTGCACAGCTCAGAGTACAGCTTTTCCCTCTGACTCACAAGCCCAGCCTGATTGCAGCTCCGGAGATAAGTTGTTTAACAAGCCCCATCAGCAGGCAGATGCTGTGCGGAGAGTATCACAGAATTTTAAGGAGTCTTCCCACTGTCTCACGTGCAAGACTTGATTTTTGAAGCAACTGAGAGGTATGGAATGATTCTGCACAATTTAATCCCTAATACAACCCACCTTTGTTTCAATGGTGTACAATTCTTTGCTATGGGACTGTTTCTCTCTCTTTTTTTGCCTGTTTTCTAGACTTATAAGGTTCCCCCTGATGCCATGTGTGTGTGTGTCCCAACAGAGATCCATGTGTTGGCAAGGTCTCCTGAGGCTGAACTCATCACAGGCACTGTTCTCATTTCAGTTTATGTCCAATTCCAGCTTGTCATCTTATTCCCAGTCTGACATGCCAATGTTCAGCTTGTCTCCAGACACAGAGTAGAATAGACTAGATTAGACAAGACTAGAATAGGCTAGGATAGAATTTGGGTAATTTGGGGATTTTGGGGTATTTGGTTCTGGGTCTTTCAAGGACTTCCTTCCAGTCTCCATAACACAGCCACACTGCAGCTCACCCTCTCTCTGGAAGGGCTCTATAGCTCCCAGGTTTGTTGCCCAAGTCAGCCTCTGAGAGCTAGGTCATAGCTCAAGGGGCTCACAAAGGAATTGCATTTGGGTGCCAACCACCTGGAATGGGGGTCCTGCTGCAGCAGCCTGGAACATGGGAGCACCCCCAGAAATGGCAGCTCATGCTGAGGTGGATACCAAGGTCTCGGCCACCCTTTTCTCCTCTGAAAGAAGCAGCCTTCTAGTGAGCTGGAATCTCATCCTTGTTCTGTGGGACAGCAGCACACATTTAATTTAATGACTCTAACTCCTTGTGTTCATTCAGCTACAAGGTCCCAGGCAAAGGGATTTAATCCTAGTATCTTTACCCATGGATGTCAGCAGTCCCTGCAGACTACCTTGTATTTCATCTGCTAGAGCAACAGCTCTTGGAAGTTACGGCTCTCTCCAATGCCAGCCCTGGCTTGCTCGTCCTCCCTCCTCATTTCCTGAAACTCTCTCATGCTGTCCCCTGGTCACCTGGGAGGACAAACAGGGATAAGTGTAGTAGAGAAACTGGGCATTGGTGCAGGGCTCAGTGGCACAGAGATGTACTGCAGGGGACAAGATCTGTACTGCAGGGGACAAGATCTGTTTTTACATTTCACAGTGTTTCTCAACACTTGGATCACAGATATTTAAAGTTGGTTTTCCTTCTCATATTTTGTGCTGCTGCTCCCAGAGATCAGACACTTCTCACTGGTCTCTTGGCAAGTCCTGCTCTGGGGGTGGACCATGTTCCCAGGCATTGCAGTTTGCCTGGAGGTGAGATGTGCATGAACACCCCCTTCCCATCAGCTCTGGAGCCCTGGGTACTCCTAGGAAACCCTTGCCAGTGTGGGGGGGCAGCCTGCTTGCATGGACAGTAGAGAAACAGAAGTGATTCAGTTCCTGGCAAACAACCTGAAGGCAAAATCCCCCCTGTGTGTCTCCTGTGGCACATCGGGACTGATCATCGTCAGTCTCTGTCCTGGGTACCCCCTCCTCCAGGCACGTCCCCAACTCTGCACCCCGACAGCTCACAGCCCCATCCCACAGAGACCTCACAGCTGTGGGTGCCCTGTTTCTTATCAGAGGGGAGGGGCTGGGACCAATCCCCCCAGGACACCTTCACACCAGATGCAGACGTACAGCACAACTTCCCTTGAGCATTGGCAGGGACAGCTGGGGATACTCCAGCAGGAGTGATTTGTGTGCGTGTGTGTGTGTGTGTGTGTGCATGCACCTGTGTATTTGCCTGCCCTTTTGTCTCTCTGTGTCTGCCTGACTCTGTCTCTCCACCTGCCCATTTCTGCCTGCTTCCTTCTGTGTTTCTGCCTCCCCATGCCAGTGCATCTATGTGTGCATCTGTGTGTCTCTCTGGACGGTTGTTTGTCCCTTTGTCTGGCTTTGAGCATGTGGATGCGTGTATCTTACTGTGAATGTGTCTGACCCTTTTTGCATGCCTGTGCGTCTTTGTCTGTATCTGTATGACCTCGTCCGTCTGCCCATGAATTTTTGTGTGCTCTTTCTGCATTCGTGTGTCCATCCCTTCCCTCTACACATCCATCCATCCATCCATCCATCCATCCATCCATCCATCCATCCATCCATCCATCCATCCATCCATCCATCCATCCATCCATCCATCCATCCTGCCCCGTGCCCCACCCGCCGCCACGGCTCTTCAGCACCGCGGTGCACGGACAGCTCCGGCCGCCTCCCGCCGTGGCGGCACCTCTCACCGCACCGCGCCTCGCACCGCACCGCGCCTCTCCCCGTCGAGAGGAGCCCCCTCCGCACCGCTCCGCCCCGAGCCCCCTCCGCACCGCACCGCGCCGTGCCCCGCCCCGCCCCGCCGTACATAAGCGCCGGCGGCGCCGCCGGTCCTGCTCCGCCGCCATGAGCTACAGCGCGGAGCCAGCGGCTCTGGCCGCCTCCTACCGCCACCTCTTCGCGGAGGCCCCGCGCCGCCCCGAGGTACCGCCGGCCCGGCGGGCGCGCCCGGGCGCGGAGCCGGGGGCGGTGCGGGAGCGCGGCGCGGAGCCGCGGCGCAGCGAGAAGGAGCAGCTGCAGGGCCTCAACGAGCGCTTCGCCGGCTACATCGAGAGGGTGCGGGCGCTGGAGGAGCGGAACCGGGCGCTGGCGGCGGAGCTGGCGGCGCTGCGGCAGCGCTCGGACGAGCCGCGCCGGCTGGGGCAGCTGCTGGGCGGGGAGCTGCGCGCCCTGCGCGCCCGGCTGGAGGAGGCGCACGGGGAGCGAGCGCAGGCGATGCTGGAGCGGGCGCGCCTGGCCGAGGAGACGCAGCGGCTCCGGGCGCGCTGCGAGGAGGAGGCGCGGAGCCGCGCCGAGGCGGAGCGGGCGCTGCGCTCCCGGCAGCAGGCGGCCGAGGCGGCCTCCCGCGCCCGCATCGACCTGGAGCGGCGGGCGGCGGCGCTGCGGGAGGAGCTGGCCGAGATGCGCAGCGCCCACGCCGAGCAGCTCGCCGAGCTGGGCGCCGCGCTCCCGGCCCCGGCCCCCGCCCCGGCCCCGCGGCCCGACCTGGCCGCGGCGCTGCGGGAGCTTCGAGCACAGTACGAGGCGCTGGCGGCCCGCAACCTGCAGGCGGCCGAGGACTGGTACCGCGCCCGCTGCGCCCGCCTGCACGAGCGGGCGGCCCGCAGCCAGGAGGCCGTGCGCGCCAGCCGTAGGGAGGCCGGCGAGTGCCGCCGCCAGCTCCAGGCGCGCCTAGTGGAGATGGAGAGCCTGCGCGGCGCCCACCAGTCCCTGGAGAGGCAGCTGCAGGAGCTGGAGGAGCGGCACAACGCCGAGGCTGCCGGTCTGCAGGTGAGCCGGGCGGCGCCGGGAACCGTCACCGTCCTCTCCCCTGGCACCGGGCACTGTGCGGTACCGAGCATCCTCCTCTCGTGCAATCCGCGCCAGTCGGCAGTTCCATAATTACGGCCCCCCGTAATGTGTAGCACCGAACATCTTCATCCCACGCAACCCCCCGGCAAATGCCTTACCGGCACCTCCGACCCCTCACTCCCCTTCCCCTGGTGCTGTGGAGTGCTGAGAATCTCCACTGCCAGTGAAATCCTGCAGCGCACCTCCATCCCCTGCAGCAGCCCCTCCCGCCGCTCTGTGCAGCGCTGGACACCTCGGCCCAACGCGGTGCCCCCCCCGACCCCGCATTGCCCAGCACCCCCACTATCCCAATCTGTGCTGCCCTACCCGCAACACCCCCGCCACGGTGCGGCACCCGCCCGTGCAGGGGCAGTGCCCCCACAGCGCTGCACAGTGCCAGGCACCCCTCTGCAGCCTTCTTACCACCCAGCACAGCGCCTCTCTGCCCTGCACACAGGTCCTGCCCTACCAGGGCATCGCCTGTTGCCTTCACCCTTTATCCATAGGCAAAAACAGAGAGGGCAGGTTTCTGGGAAACAGGCCAGGATACCCCATTCCTGCAGGTGACATCCCTGCACGTGGCAGTGCTGTTTGGGGCATCACTCCATCCCTGCCCTTAAGGATATCCCCGTCCCTTAAGGATCAGGTCCAAAATTGCCCACACATTTCCCATTGTTGTGGGTAATTCCTCAAAGCTATCTGCTTAGGCTTGGCCCCTTGCCCTGTGGCCTGGCTCTTGGCACCTGCACTGCAGAAATTGGAGCTCTACAAAGACTATGTCTGAATTTGCAGACAGACCCCAGATCTGTGGAAAGACTCACGTGGGACACTGAGTGCTCCATATCTCTTATTCCATTACCGCAGTATTACCGCATTTTCTTAGTCCAGGGAAACATAAATGGTTTATAAAAAAATAAATCTTGAAATTGTTCTATTACATGGCTATTAAATGATCTGTGGTTTCTAAATCAAGCCGTTTCCTTCTAAATACTGAAGGAGCTGCCTTAAATCATACCTAGAGGATGTTGCTTTACACCCAAGTAATGCTTTGTCATTTCTAAGGCCAAATTTTGCCAGGCAGTCTAGAATTCATGACTTAGCTCCAAACTACTTGCAATCTTCCTGAACAGTTGATGCAGTCTTCAACAAATATTGTGAAAAAAGGCAATATACAATATTCTCTATAGTGGGTGAAAAAATTACACACAGTAATCTTCTGAAATAGTCTTGATGCCATAGGAGCAACTATCAATTGGAAAGAAAAATTAATGCACCTGGATTAAATAGTACCATAATTAAAATTGCTTCAGTGACATCACAGCAGTGTTTTCCTGTATGACTCTCAGGATCTGCTTTATGTGTTGCACTACTTAGGAGTCTTTTGAACAATGTGCATGTGTAGCAGCTAATTAATTTCCTTGGCTGCAACCAATGGAAAAGGATGGAAGTGTGTATTAAAAGATAATATTCCTATTGTCTGAGCTTTTAAAACGTTCCCATAGACTTCTAAAGGCTTTCCAGTCAAATCTTAACCAACATGAGAGAGCTTTGGTTTGCAATGGTGTGGAAATGGGTTTTTATTCAATCAGCTGGTAGGGCTGGGATGTGGAAGAGAGGTGCAGAGAAGGTAACAAGCCATTTCAAATGAGGTTTTTGTTCATGTGGACTGCAGGCAGAGGGCAGAGGGCTGAAGGCACAGAGGGTCACAGCAGCAAGAGTGGAACTGTCCCAGGGTGGGGTCACCCCAAGTTCTTCCCTCCTGTCACGGTTTGGTGCAGCAGCAGTCTGTCTGCTTTGGGATAAGAGGTTTTAATCTGTATAGCAGTGACATTCATGCATGTCCTGGGGCTTTTCAGTTGATGGCCCAATGACCTTCTCTGAGGCACAACTTCATGCAGCTCTCTTGCTGTGGAAAAGGGACAGAGCAGCACAGGTCAAGGCAGAGACCACAAGGATGGCCCCTAAATGTCCCCCAAGGCTGGATGTACCCAGCTAATTTGACTGTGAGATGCCCTGTGCTGCATTCAGGATGAGCTGTCACTGCTTCCCTGAGGGGCACTGCTCAGACTGGGCTCGCTGCACCAAGGTCAGCACAGCTCCCTGCTCCTTGGGCAGCTCCATGTCTCGTGTCTGTCTCTGCACTATGCACAAGGAAGGTTATGCTGGAGAGGAAGGAGGGGACACAGGATGAGAATGAGGATGGGGACAAGATGGCAATGACATGGCAGGACAAAGATTGTTTGCTGGAACAGGGTATCTGGAAACAATCACAGAGGCCCAACTGTTCCAGTGGGTGCAGGAGAGCAGAGGCTGGCAGTGGCCATTGCAGGGACTTGCAGGCGGGGCTACACCATAACTTAAATGCAAACTGCTGACTCATTCCTGTTCCAAATCATGCTCCTCTGGTGGCACAGCAGAGCAGCTGGCAGCAGGAAACCTGCTGGGAAGAGAGGAGTGGGTTTCACTGCTTTCAGGCTGCTTCTTAGATATTTGGATGCATGTGGGAGAAAACCAGGCTGCTCGTTTCCTGAGAAAAAAAATAGAAGAAAAGATTAGTCTCCTTTGTTAGCAGGAAATCTGGCCTTGGAGTCCTCCACATCGCAAGTAGAACAGGATATAGGGGGCAAAAGGCAGGGCAAAGCTGATGAGAAGGATGCTAGAACAACATCACTGCCCAGCTGAGCACCCCACACTGGCACTCTGAGGCATTTTCCAGGGAAGGTTTCAGATTTCCCCTCCTGGAGGGCAGCCCTGGCAGCACCACTTCTCCTTCCACCACCCAGACACGTGTCCAACCCTTCTTAAGCCCCACGGATGCAGACTGCAGCCCTTCTTCTCTACTGCTGCAGTGCTGAGGGCCTTCACTTGTCCTGTTGAGCCACTGACTGTGCTTTGATGATGTTTAAGCCCAAAATTTTTCTTCCCTCTGTAGCAGCCTGCCTTGTTCCCTGTAGGACTGGAAGTTCCACCACCATGCACTATTTACCCACCTCACAGACCCTCCCACAGATGGGAAACTATATAAATCCATCAATGCCTAAAGCCTCCCCCACTGCACACACTCACAAACCACACCTGGTGCTCAGCCTGCTTTTTCATCCCTGTTAACGTGAGATTTTGTCATCCCAATCTCCTGAAGGGATGTGCCATCATGGACCAACTGCCCATTGCAACTTCCCTGTCTTTGCAATGGGCAGAGCAGAAAATCTGTGTGAGAAGTCTCTGTTCCAAAACACAGCCCTGAGTGCCCTTGCCTTTGCAGGACACCATCGGGCAGCTGGAGGATGACCTGCGAAACACCAAAAATGAGATGGCACGGCACTTGAGGGAGTACCAAGACCTGCTTAATGTCAAGATGGCCCTTGATATTGAGATAGCTGCCTACAGGTAAGGCTGCTTTATTCCTGCTTTGGCCACCTCCCAAGCCCAATCCCCTGACCCCACCAGGCTGGGATATTTTCAAGGGCCCAGAAAATCCCTGGGTACAGACTCAAGGAGCACCACAATTGTGTTGCTCATCTTTGCTGCCTGGACCTGCCAGTTCCTGCCTGGGGAGCAGCCATGGCTCCATGTCATGCCTTGATCTAGCAGCTGTGAACTGTGTTCCCCAGCCATCCCAGAAACAGTGTTTAATGGGGACAATTGGGGTTGGAAACTTGTCTCTCTTGCAAAGCCAAACTAGATGCAAAAGGCCAAGTCCCTGTGGTTTGGGTATTTATTTTCCTGGCATTTCTGGAAAGTTGGTCTCATGCATCCCATATTGCAAGTGCTCCAGAAATTATTCACCAAGACATGATTTGGAACCAGTTTCATGGTGCAGTGTGACCTGGGGTGATGGTCTGGAGTGCTTGGACTTTCCTGCAGGGTACAACTTGCCCTCAAGTTTTGCAGATGTTTCACACTCCAAGACTAACCTCTTTCCTTGTGATGTGCTTGCAGGAAGCTGCTGGAGGGAGAGGAGACCCTCTTCAACATGGGAAGTGTTGGCCTTCCAGCGCTCAATTCCCTCCCCAACCCCACTTACTCCTTTGAGCCAAGAAGCTTCAGTTCCTCTACTCTGTCCTTCAAGGAGGAGGAGCAAGGAGAGGTTATTAAAGTGACCTCCAAAATATCATCCAGCAGGGCTGAGGTGATTGAGGGGACCATAACCTCTGTCAAGAAAAGAGGGAGGTTAAACCTGCATGGAGGAATCACTGCAAATGCAAAAATGTAACCACTGGGACCCTATTCATGTACATTTGAGGGGGAGCAGTCTCCACTCGGCCTTTAAATTTCTCCTCTGGGCACGAAGCCACACTGGACTCGTGGGAAGCCCCCCTTAGAAACACATAACTCCCCAGGGACACCAACCCAGGGACGGCTTCCCTGCGGGTCCTGCCACGCAGAGGCCGAGCTTGGCACACTGCTCCCTTTTAAATGGGTTGGAGGCACAGCAGAACAGGTAGATAGATGCATGTTGGTCATTGTTGTGGTAGCACATGGATTCATAGCACCCTCCCTCCCTCTTCCTGGGGCAGGTGAGGGGGAGCTGGCTGGGTCTGCTGCTGAGCCAGCTCTTTGGGGAGGGAAACATGTTTACTGTCACTGGTTTCAAGGCTACAGACCTTCATCAGCTACACAAATCACAAACTCTTCCCCGCTCCTCAAGTTGTAGCCGTCCACTTTTAATCCTAGAAGCACAGAAATAGCCACACTGGACTGTAACCACACCTGAGGTCTGGTCTGAGCCACGTATATTTTGAACTATGAGTGTTAATTTTTTTTTTGTCCTGACAACTCTGTTTTCTGGCAGCTTTAGTCCAGCCAAGGCACATGGAGTTTATAAGCAGCAGGCGGAGGGCAGGGAACCGGTACATCAGAGGTGAAAGTGTCACTGTGCCACAGGGTGCAGCACCTTGTCTGGTATCACTGGCTCCAAAACATCAGGGTCTGAAGGACCCTTGTTTGGCTGCACAGTTTTCACACGAAACTCCTGTGCCCAGATTAGCACGGTGCTCCAGCCAGCACTGGGAAGCCGCAGGACTCCTGAACACCAGCCCACAAAGCATCCTTGTCTCCGCTCTAACTGTTCCAATGTGTGCCAAATTTGATATAGGATTTAACAACTGTAGGTTTCCTTCAATGCCTTAAATTGCCAGCGATCGCTTTTGCAAGAGCCGGAGACTCCGCGTGTGCACGTGTTGCGTGTCAGTGCCCTGGCAGGGTTATCATCACGAGACCTCGCTGCCCTTGTGGCGGTGCCAGAGTAGTTCCTGGAACCAGCAAATTGTTTGCTCGCACTCTTTTCTCTTCTATTGTAAGGCACAAGTTAATAATTAAAAAAAGAAATAGCTGTGTGGATCAAACCAAGCTGTTTTGTTGTCTTTGCTGCTGCTTCACCTCGGGAACACACCTCGGTGTCTGGCCCACAGCTGGTTCAGTGCCCAGCTGTCCCTCTGGGCCCCTGCAAAGAGCTTGGTGCTGGGGTGTGGCTGCTGCTGGGGCTGCAAGGTGAGCTTGGTCCCGCTGACGGCAGTGGGGCAGGTTTGCAGCTCAGCCCAGGGGCCTGTCACAGTGGCCCTGCTTTGTAGAGGAGTTCATGGCCAGCTGGCCAAGGGATCAAGGTCTGTAGTGGCTGAGTGCACTCTCATTTGCCCAGAAAATGGCCTCAGAGGCTTTGAATTGCATCACATTCCTGACAGCTCAGTCCCAAAGTACCCATCATTTCCTCTCCGCCCTGCCTGTGTGTTGAGGGTTTAGAAACACCCTCTTGGTTTGCCTGCACAAGTGAAGATAAAGCAATTTACACAACAGCAGATGGAAGAAGGGAGGGTGCACACACCGCCCAAGTAAACCCAGCAGTCACAGGTGTCCACAGAGCTGCTGTGACCACCACTAGCTTATATTTGGAAGATGCTTCTCTCGAGTGGCCCTGCCAGCAGCATAGTGTCCCACTGCCTTCCCATTCCTGCTTTGTTGCACCCTGTCGTGGCAATCTGCCCCAGAGCCCCTCGGACACAGTGTGACAGTCACAGGCTTCTCCACTAGTGCTGCAGGCCAGGAGCAGCATGGCTATGTCCCTTGATCCCATCACACCGATAACCTTGGGGAATGATACCCTGGTGGGACTGCTCACTGTGGGGTGACACAGCCCTGGGGAGGGCAGCCCTGTGGGTGGGTGAAGCAAAGGGTACCTTTTGGAGACAGGGAAGGGGGCTCGGGCATGGATGGAGCAGCAGCCACCAGAAAAACAGCACAGAGCAACTTGGGGTGCCCAGACAGAGCTCGGGGGAGCCAGCACCAAGTCCAAGGCGCTGGCAAAAAAGCAAGGACCAAAAAACCTCCAAATATCTCCTGGCTCAGCTGTCAGTTAGGAAATGCAAAGACACAGAATTTCCCCCAAACAGTAGGGGAAATAAAAAGCAAATGTGACTGTGCAGCTAATGTAATGTATTCTGAACCTCAAACACTCTCCACCACTGCTGCTTTCTGTCCCTTGAGCATAATCAGCCTGACCTGTCCTTTGTTCCCAGCACAAGCCTTTGTCAGGATTCCTGCTTGCTCAGCTGGCTGGATGCTAGTGACGAGGATGGGAATTTTACTTTTGGTACTTCATACCAATGTGAAGCAGTTGTGGAGGAGGGTGAATGAGCTGCGGGGAAGCCAAGGAGCTATTTTGGGAAACGCCTGTACTGCAAGGGCCAGCCCAGAGATTTCCTGCATTTCTGGAGCTCTGCAGTGTTTTGGTGCTGTCTCATGCTGTTAGGCTCCAGAGGTGGCAGAGCAGAGAGGAACAGGCCTGGCTTAACACGTTGCCAGTGCTGACCTCTGACAATCTTCATTCAGGCCCCCTTTTCAATCGCCATCTTCTTCAGAGCGACTCCTCTCACCTGCCTGCTTACTGGCACCAGAAGGCTTCTACAGTGAACTATAAGCTGGAACAGGGGCAATAAATCCTCCTTTGAGGTTCCATCTTTCTTACTGGGATAAACATCTCGGCTGCCAGAGGAAAGGAGTCACTGCAGATGCTGAAAGATTTATAGCTCTGTAGAACTTCAGCCTCTCAGATAAAAGGCAGCTGTGGACACAAACTGCTCCCTTCCCTCAGCAGAGAGCAGCTATTTCTCCATGATGATGGACTGCATTCATCTTTATGCTGAGGAGAACTACAGCCTCCACACAGAGGTTCAAACTCCCACTTTCAGGGCTGGCCTTTTGTTTTTTAGCCTGGGTGGAAATGATGGCCCACACAGCTGTGCTTTGAGGCTGCTCAGCTCTGCTAGTTTTGTCACATAAGTGAGATGGGTCATGCTGCTGCTGCTCCACTGATAGAATAGCCTTGCTCCCATCATGATCCTGGAATCAAGGGTCCTTTGGCTCCACTGGAGGTTCCTGCAACAACTATCTGTGCTGTGCTGAGATGTACAACTCCTTAAAAACAGAGAGAGTAGCTGCACACGGAGAAGCTTTGCTAATGACGCTTATCCAGAGGCTGGAATTCATTAAAAAGTAAGCCAAAGAAAAAGCAGCCAAAGGAAAAAAAAATCCAAACATTTTCCTTTGGCAGGAATGCAAACATCTCCTTTTCAAGACTGGGGAAGAACCCCGTCATTCAGCAAGAAGGAATCAATAGGCAATTCAGAGCAAAGCCTCTTCCGGCACCTTTGGCAGGATCCAGCCAACTCTCTCCTTGCCAGCTCTTAGCACAGGGATCTCCTTAAGGAGAAGGGCTTCTTCCCCAAGGGAGTGACCTAATGCCAGCAGCCAAACAGATTCATCTGACTGATCAAATGTCCACCCTGAAAATTTCAAAGTGCAATTCCAGAGCCCCAGGTACACATTCACTTGCTGAAGAGAGCAAAGCTCTTGAGGTGCCATGAGCGTCAGTTCTGAAACAACAGAGGCCCAAAGTCCATTCCTACTGCAGCAGGGCTTTGAAACAAGAGGCAGCTGCTGCCTGCCTGCATCCAAGAGAGCACAGGAAACACAAGCTCTTGGCTCCCCTGTATCCAGAGCTGCCTTGTAAAAGCTCTGCCAGACACATAGTCATTCTCTGAGATGATGTACATGCAGACCTGTGTATGGTCTGTAAGAACAAGCTGTTTGGAGCTGCCATTTGGAAAAGCTGAGGTCAGACTGAAAAATGCAGTTTGCACTGAGGCTTAAAACATCATTAAGTAAATTTTCAATGGAAGTGCAAAAAACAAAACAAAAAACCCTAATCCCTAGACCCAAGGCACGTCATTAGCAAATTCCTAGTCTAAGCAATCAGGTTTGAGAGATGTACGAATAAGAATGCCTGAAGCAAGCCAGAATGTTTCAGCAAGGCAAAATATTCAGGCTAGATTCTTAAGGAAGCAAGGATTATAGGATCATACTGTGACTGCATGTCCCCTTTACCCCCTGAATCCTTCCCTAGTCATTTTTTATGCTCAAGAGCTTAACTTCAGCCACATTTGAGAGCATTGAAAGTCTCAAGGACACCAAACTTCTCCAAGTTTCATGCTATCAGCTGCACAGGTGAAACACCACCATTGACTGAGAAGCTGAGGTTCCCTACTAGACACCAGAAAACCCATTCAGAGGGCAGAGCTTATGGATGCCTCGATACCAAGGCGAGCCTCATTGTGAGCTCATTTGCAACCAAATGACAAAGCTGTAAAAGCAAAAACCAGAAAATAAAACAACAAACCACCCCAGAATGAAAGAAACTTTTTTCCCCCCCAAGCTGTTTACCAACTATTTGTTCCTTAAAACCAGATGAATCCTTTTGGTTGAATTTCTCCATAGATAGCTAAATCAATCCACTTGAAGCTGGAACAACCTGCAACACAACAAATTCACCCCATGTACATCACTTGGCAAAATTTTAAATAAGTAAAGTCTTCAGAAGAAACACATGTGGTTGCTTTGAGAACAGGTTACCAGACCTGTTACACCTGCATTCACGAAGAGATATCAATAGTAGTTTGTTAATTGCCTGCTTTCACATACCCAGCAGTAGCATGGAGTTTGTATGGGCAGAACTTTATAGAAATTATTGCTCTAGATGGACAGAGCTGAGAAGAACTCGGCTCCAGGTCATACAGCAAGCCAAGAACAGAGCTGAGAAATGAATTCAGGTGTCCCCATGTTCAGCTGACCCACTCACACAGAAGATGACTACCCCCACTGCTGTTCTGTATGTCATGGCACACAAATAATCTCCTATTGTATGGCCACCAAAACATGAAATGTTTCCCCTGAGGAAGAAAACAGCTTGCAGGTCCTTTTGAAGGGTGCTGGGCTTCTCACCTCCCAAGTTCTTACCTTTCAGTCCCAGGTATATGCAGTAATGGACACTGGTCCATCAATTAACCGCTTCTGTCACCACAAGCTACAGAAAAGCCTGCTGCAGGCAGCATGCTCTGAGCACAGTGTGGGATCTTGGAATGACTGGTGTTTCCCAGCACCACATAAAAAGCGCTCCAAGGCAGTTCTCACAGGAACACACTATTTTTCTCAATCTTTGCCTCCACCACCCACTTTTCTACTGTTAATGTTTCCCTTGGAAGAAAACAGACATTTTAAGATTTCATTTCCAAATAGACTATTTCACCATACAGTTAAGAGAATACAAGCTCTCTTTTCCACTTCGGAAAATATTTTTTTTTTGCAGGTCATTGCTGCTTTGACACAAATACATTATTGTTATACTAAATCCAAACTCAGTAATGATGGTGATACAGCTCCAGTAAGAATTTTGCAGCTGCAGGGCAGCCAATTAATACTGCATTTCATCACAGATGGGATTACCATTTATCTCCCAAAACCAATAAAATTTGACCTGGCCAGGAATTAAACTTGTATCTGCGGCAAGTTTCTGAAACTTTAGCAAATGTAAACATTCGTTGGCTCATTCAGCAAGGGTCTCTTAAAGATGACATGGTAAAATTCGACTTATGTCACCTTGCTTCTCTTTCTGCTGAACTAGTTAGGGTTACAGAAAAAACAGGAGGCAGCAAAACCAAACAAAAAGCAGAAGGGAAGAGAATGTGCCATTTGCAACGTTCTCTCCATCTATCAGCAGATATCTATCACAGCAGAACAAGTACATTTTAAAGCACCTTAATATTCAGGCTAGGCCCTGGTGCACTCTACTAAGCATGCAGCATATTGGAAGATTCATGGGGACAATGTGACAGTCTCCCTTTAAAAGAAAGAAATGTAACACACAGATTCTGCTCTGTCTCTTAACAGCCTCTCTCTCAACTGCTAGAGTGAATCCCAGCCCCCTCCATTCATTTGTACGAAGCACAAATTTCATAATAATGATACTCCACACAAAAGAAAAGCAAAACCAGAAATGCCAGGAATTTAATTTTGTTAGTGACTGTTAAAAATGTATTAACATAAATCATTGCACATAAAGGCCTGATGATTCCCTGAAAAGAAATTCAGCACGGACTAGTATTAGACAAGCTTGAATGGTTTTTCAATAAAACTCATTGATTGTTTCACATCTATGGAAATAAATGTCAAGAGCTCTCCTGGCTCATGTGTGCCACGGTCTGGTGGCAGTACAGACCCAGGCTGGGTGCACTGTTGTGTTCAGGACATAAATTACAGTTATCCCTGGCCACTGCAGGTCCCCTGTTTAGAGGGCTCAGCTGCACATTTCACCAGTCTCTCAAGCCTTATCTTCTAATTACACTAAACTGGTACTGAACAAAAAGAAAACAGGCAGAATGTAACCAGTATGACTCAAGGCTCAAGACTTGGTTGTACCTTGATTCTGGATTAATAAGAACTCCTGAAACTAAGGTTCATCATCTCCTCTTCCTGGGAATTAGCTGATCTGTAAAGGAACTCAGAATTATGCTGCATTAACAAACAGTATTTAATTAGGAACTGTGTTAGCCATGGTATTGCTAAGAGGTAACAAGAAAATAAATGCAGAATTCTTTCATCGAGTGAAGAAACAATAGTGTCTGTAAAACAATGAATGAGTCCAAGCACACTTTCCCTCACTTCCAGAGCACAAGCCTGGCTCATCTCCCATGAGGACAGAGATGCCATCCCATAGACGGCCTGTTGTTACAGAAGCTCTTCTATCATCAGGACCAAAAGTGACTGGAGGGAAGCCAAGGTTAAAAGGAGACCAACAGAAATAAAACAGCAGCAGGAGAGCTGAAAGGAGATTGGCACATTTTAAAGCAAGCAGACTGATTATGCAGGAAACCACAGAGCCCCCGGGTCAGCCTTGGCAATAGCAAAAGGTCATCCCCCCTGCACGTGGATGTGCCCCAGGGGCACCGCAGCACTGGAGAGCAGGTAACACATCAGTGCCCTCAGGTGAAAGAAAGCAGAATGTTCAGCCAGGAAAACCACGCTAAAAATATGCTTCTGAAGGCAGGTGAAGAAGAAATAGAGAGAGAGAAGTGGACAAAAGGGAATTAAGAGGTCACTAAGCATTCATGCCAAAACATCACAGGCAACAGATCTTCAATTTCTCCTCATTAAGCCACTAAAAGAATGAACCAAGAAGTGCTGGCCTTCCTGCATTTCAGCTGGCATGTGATTTACCCTGCAGGAGAACTCTTTGAAGATATCCAGAAGCTTTTTTTAAAATTAAAAAAACCCACAAACAAACAGAAATTGACATCAGTGCCAGCGGCAGCACAGTCCTCCTGGGGCTATGCAAGTCAGCTGCATCCTAGAATAACATTAATTTTAATTAACTATCAGCTACAACTGTTTAAACTCTGCAAATGTGCCCTTCTGTAGACATGAAGTTCAAGCCTGGTGTAGGGGTGAATTTGCAATGTAAAATGTGACTCTACTGATAACTTTTCTTTAAGCATAGAGTTATACATAGAAAACAAGCCCCTGAGTGATAATTAAGCAGGAAGGGCCAGCATGGAACATTTGAGCCAGATGCCTTGATTCAAGTGGCAGAGAAACATCCAGTTCACAGGGGATCGGACAGCAATAACCATAAAGATAAAATATTTTATGTTCTCATTGGTGAAAAAGGGATCCTGTAACTACCTAGGATGATTTCTCCAGGATTTATGTTGAAAAATCATCTTCACAACTTTATTGATCTATTTCTCATCAAAATCCTCATTAAAAGGAAAGCCCCAAAGATTTCATGTTACTCCAGCTAACAATACCACACTTAGCTTCAGTGGGGATTCTGGTATTGCATTACCCTTTACCATATAACCTCCTAATTGGGGTTGTCATTCTAACAACCCCAGAGCATATCCAGCAGTTTCACTATTATCTGCTATCGTTTTGGAGCTGACATAGGGAACAGGGTACAGAAACACATAAGAACTCAATTTTAAGTTGGCTAAAATAAAGTTTATTTTACTGTTACAATATATAATCTTTTATCAACACAACTCACAAAGTGTTTACAAAATAATCTCATTTCTGCTGCATTTTAAACACTACTTTTATACAAACTTTAAAGGTAAAATAGGAGTTTGTAGCTAAAACTGTTTTTTTTTTTTTTTTACATTTTTAGAAGTATTTCACAAGAATTACTTCAAACAAGACTTTTTTTTCTTGGTGCCATCTTCACAGACAAAACTCAATGTTTATTGTAAAGACCTGCAGGAGGATTCATGAAAGCTTTCTTTAGACAAAGGATGCCAGTCCTCCTAGTCTGACAGTGAGCAAAGGCATCTGAGCTAATATTTGAGCCATCACTGTACCCTTGTGGCCAGGAGGGCCAATTGTATCCTGGGGTGCATCAGGGAGAATGTGGCCAGCAGGTCAAAGGAGCTGATCCTTCCCCTCTACTTGGCTCTAGTGAGGCCACATCAGGAGTGCTGTGTCCAGTTCTGGGCTCTTCCACACAAGGAGGACAAGGAGCTGCTGGAGAGGGTCCAGCAGAGGCCACAAAGATCATTAGGTGTCTGGAGCATCCCTCTTATGAGGAGAGACTGTGGGAGCTGGGCCTGTTCAATCTAGAGAAAACTGAGAGGGGATCTCATCATTGCATACAAATATCTCAAAGGCAGGTGCCAAGAGAATGGTGCCAGGCTGTTTTCAGTGGTGCCCAGCAACAGGACAAGGAGCAATGGCCATAAACTAAACCACAAGTTTCACCTCAACATGAGGAACCAGAATACATTGAGTTGGAAGGGATCCATCAGGATCATTAGGTCCAACTCTTGGCCCTGCACAGGACACCCCAGGAGTCGCACCATGTGCCCAAGAGCATTGTCCAAATGCTTCTTGAACTCTGTCAGGCTTGGTGCTGTGACCACTTCCCTGGGGAGCCCAACCACCCTCTGGGTGAAAAGCCTTTTCCTGATATCCAAACTAAACCTACACAGACTCAGCTGTTTCCATGAGTCCTGCCACTGATCATGAAGAGATCAGTGCCTGTCCCTCTGCTTCCCCTCGTAAGGATTTTGAAGATCCCAGTGAGGTCTCCCCTCAGTCTCCTCTTCCTCAGGCTGAACAAACCAAGTGACCTCAGCTGCTCCTCGTGTGGCTTCCCCTCCAGATCCTTCACCATCCTTGTGCCCCTCCTTTGGACACTAATAGCTTAATGTCTTTTTTATATTGTGGTGCCCAAAACTGCACACAGTATTCAAGGTGAGGCCACCCCAGTGCAGAGCAGAGAGGGACAATCCCCTCCCTGGACTGGCTGGTGATGCTTTGCCTGATACCCCCAGGACATGGTTGGCCCTCCTGGCTGCCAGGGCACTGCTGACTCATACTCAAGCTGCCACCAATCAGGACCGCCAGGTCCCTTTCTGCAGCACTGCTCTCCAGACTCCCATTCCCCAGTCTGTACACATAGCCAGGGTTGTTCCATCCCAGGTGCAGAGTCTCCATTTGCACTTGTGAAACTTCATACAGCTGGCGATTGCCCATCTCTAATTTGTCAAGGTCTCTCTGCAGGACCTTTCTGCCCTCAGGGGAGTTGACAGCTCCTCCCAATTTAGTGTTGTCAGCAAACTTATTTAGTATTCCTTTGAGACCAGCACTGATGAATCCCAGGATCTGCATAAACATTTTCCCAGGGGACTTTACTTACTAGTTCCCTGAGCAGCCCGAAGTCTGCTCTCCCCATGTCCAGAGTCAAAGTCTTGCTGGCACTTTTCCTCCTGTCAACAGAGATTTTAAACTCGATCCCTTCATGGTCGCTGTGGCCAAGACGACCACTGATCTCAACTTTGCTCACGAGATCCACTCTGTTGACAAGCAGCAGATCAAGGAGGGCATCTTTCCAAGTCGGCTCCCTTAGGACCTGTTCCATAAAGCTGTCATTCAGTTTTTTTAAGAATCTTCTGGCCCAGGTTGTACCAGCTGTGTAATGCCCTCAGTTGATTTCTGGCAAGGTGAAGTCCCCCATAAGGACAAGGGAAGTTGCCTTGGAATTGTCCCTTAGTTCCTCAAAGAATAATTTGTCAGTGTCATTGTCCTCGCTGGGAGTCTACAGCAGACTCCCACTGTGATATCTGCATTATTTGTTTGCCCCTTGATTCCTACCCACAGGCTCTCAACTGTGCTATTTCCAACCCTTCCCATACAGCTGTGGAAAGGATGGAGGGATACCCCTTGCCTCTTCTGCTCTGCCTGTCCCTCAAAAAGCCTGTAATCATCCAAGAGGGCACTCCAGTCACAGAACTCATCCCACCAGGTTTCATTTATGCCATTGATATCAGATCTCTGGGACTGGGCCAAAGCTTTGAGCTCCTATTGTTTATTCCTCGTGCTGCGTGCATTGGTGTAGAAACATTTCAGGTGGTGTACATGGTACCCAGTAACTCGTGAGGCAGATTCAGGGATTCCATTAGTGTTCCTTTTCCTGAGTTTTGGCACACCACATCCCATCCCTCATTACTGGCAAGCCTGGTTTTGCCCCTTTCCCGCTTCCAAGCTGGCTTAAAGCTCTATCAACAAAGCCTACCAGCTCCTGTGCTAGAACTCTTTTTCCCCCCTTAAAAAGGTGCATCCCATCAGGTGTCAGTAGACCAGGTGTTGAATAGATTATCCCATGGTCAAAAAACCCCATATTTTTCCACTTACACCAGATTCTGAGCCACACACTGACCTGATGGATTTATCTATTCCTCTCAGTATTATTCTTTGTTACTGGAAGAACCGAGGAAATTACTGCCTGCGCTCCTGATCCCACTACCAATTGCCCCAAGGCCCTGAAGTCTCTTTTCATTGCCTTCAGACTTCTCTTTGTTATTTTGTTGCTGCTGGCTTAACAACCAATAGTGGGTAGTAATCAGACGTGCTTACCAGACTGGAGAGTTTTCCAGTAATGTCCCTTACCTGAACCCCTGGGACACAGCAGACTTCCCTGTGAGTTGGGTCCGGTCTGCATATCAGGCCCTCTGTTCCCCTTAGAAGGGAGTCTCTCATTACAACCACCAACTACCCTTCTTTTCCTCTAAACAGAAGTGCTTGTGATGTGGGGTACAGGTGGTACACCCTTCAGTCCCAACAAGACCTTTCCCCACTTCATCAGTTGTCTGGTCTTCTAGTTGTAGGGCCTCATACCTGTTGTAGAAGGTGTCACTCCTACTTGTTAAGTTTTCAGAAGGAACAACCTTCCTCCCGGTAGATGCCATGACCTGCTTCCAACCTTCATCTTCAACAGATCCTTGACTAACTGCCTTGCAGGGCTCTGAGTCCACCTGCTTCTCTGCTACAATGGAGGTTTGAGACTCCTTTTTCCTACACTGACTACAAGGAAGGAGGGAGCCTGGTGCCTCCTGGTAGCTTTCATGGATCCCCACACCAATGACCAGCAAGATCGTAACACACAGAGCACTCTGGTCCTTAATGCTGCACAAGAAAACATGGAAATCTTAGAAGAAAATTTTAAGTATTAGACTTGTCACAAACCGTAGTATTTTAGTATGTTAAAGTTACCTAAAATCCTCTGTGAATCTGGTAGTAACAGGCAAGTATTACATTACTCAGCCCTGGTCTCCACTGCAATGCACTAAAATACATTAAAAAGAGTGGAAAAAGCGACCATTTTCACAGCTGCTAGAGAGGTATGTGCTAAAGTGAATGGATTTATGCTCCTGACAGTCGAGCCAGTTGACAGATTCATGATAGCAGAATCAGGCTGACAGTGATTTCTTTACATACAGCAAGCAGGTAGAAAGAGGTGCTACTTTTTGTTTTTCATGCATAGTTTAACCAGCTTATAGCCAGCCCATCTCCATTAAGACTAGAGATGCATGATCCACCATTTGGTATAAGCCAAACTACCAGCAAATATATTTCCAGTGCAAACAAAATTGTCTTTCTTCAAGAAAAACAACTAAATTTAATGCTACTTCTCAAAAAAACCCCAATGCTTATGCTGCATCGTTTTCTACCTATTTTGGTCTGCATTTCTAGTTTCCTTCCTCTCCCCATATCATACCTGAAGACAGATGATCACAGTACACATTTTTTTTAGGCAACTGACTGTCTCCTCCCCAAAATACACTATACTGCTCACTGAAGATCATCCCTGAGAGCACTGTTCTAGCTAGACACTTAGAAAGCAAGAGATATCTCAGAGCTTAAGAGGAAAAAAAGGCTGTTAACCCTGTGAAATCTTGTGGTTTTAGAAAGTAAAAAAAATGCAGCTACTCTGAGCATTTAAATTCCCTGAGCTGAGTGAAATTTGAAGACAGTAATTTGTAACGTGAAGCATAGCAACATCTACAGCTGTACTTATAGAAGCTGCAATTTTTTTACAGTGGTAAAGTCAGATGTTCCATTACAATCACACAGCAGTTAGTGGTAGTTCCTTTAACTTGCTTCCTGCCACAGGAAATACAATGGCTTCTTTGGTGAGAAACAGCAGTGAAGAAGCGCCATGACTTCAGATTCTTTTGCCTTGTAATATTCCAGCAATTCTTTAAGTTAGCGGAGATACCACCAGGCCATAGTGCAGAACAAGTAAACCATCCTACAGAGAAGAGAAAGAAACTGTATCATCCCACCACTTCACCTTTTTGGGCAGGCATTTCCGTCACCACCTGGTGCCACAGTCACTGCATGGCAGGACCCCAGGCACAGTCTCACCATTTTATACAGTGTCCCTTCTATACAGAGAATGCAAATTTTGACATATTGAGGCAAATAATTACGTTGCCCTTTCCTCTTTGAGATGGAGAAGGGTGTTAAATTAAAGTTGAATCTGGTACTTTGATTATATTTCAAAGTTATAATTGAATTATCTCCATGCAATAGGCTCTTGCTTACAAGTCATGCTGCTTTCCACATGATACTGTGGGTCAGAAAAAAAAAAAAAGTAATCATTAAGTTCTAGAAGGTGCTGCCAGACGTTGTAGTAGAAGAGTCTAGACTACTACTATATACATTTATTAAGTAATAAACACATTGAATTAAAAAAACTCCAAATGACAAGCCATTAGTTTATTAAGTTATGTTTCTCCTCTTCAGAGACTGCTCCACATAATAACAAAACCCTTTCACCTGGGAAACAGGACACTTTTAACCCATTAGCTTTACTAATGCCACTTAATTAGGCCTAGCGCTTACTCTGCTTTCAGTGGGAATCTGACTTATTGCATTAGACCTCTTTCTATGGACACTTTAAAAAAAAAGTTTTCTTTTGCAGAGAGAACTACATTAATCATAACTGACATGTTGGAACTTCTACTTTATTTTGCTTCAGATGTTTTTATCTATTAACATACAGGATGCAAGATAATGTGTTCCAGAGAAGTTATACAGTTCTGTGTGAGAGGGTATACCAGCATATTAAAAATCTTTAATTAAAAAGTTAATTACCCAAAAAAGTAACAAGACTGCCATCACTTCACAGGTTCTATATTATAATACAGTAAGAGGAGAAAGTGCTGTTAGTCTGAACACAGTATTTTGGAAGAATATATATATTTAAACCATAATTTGTTATCTGTGTAAAAATGATTTTGACTAGTTTGTGCAGCCTCAACTTATTCATGAAAAAATAATCTTTGAGCCATTTTGTATTGGATTAAATTTAAGATTAAGCAATTGATCACCAACAGCTCCACAGCATGTTCCTCCATGAGCTTCATGCACTTTGTTTCATGGATGACATATGTTTCATGATGACTTATGATGACATATGAGGCCTAGTGTAGTGTAGATGGCAATGAACCTCAACTTCAATGGTCAGGAATTAAAACCCCCAACTGCATTCCTGTGTTATTAGTGCCAACTCACTAACTTCCCTTCATCTTCTCACCCTGTTCTTAACCAGGAATCCATCACTAACTCCTAAAATGATACAGAAGCATGCAGGAGCTTTAACTCACTTCTTCAGTGTCTACTATAAAGTGGGATGGCTACCTTGCAAAATGAAGAAAGAATCGTGATTGTTCTCACTTCCTGTTACACGGAACAGGTCCCAAGAGGTTCCTCAGGAACCTCTTGGCACACAGGACGTTGTTACACCTTCCCAAAGCTACTTACTCCTTGTGCCCATTAGCCACTTCAACAGAGAAAATAAGACATTTTCAAGCTTCATTTTTTGGAGAACTGTTGACAAAATCAGTTCTTCTTCTATGGCAGTTTCTCATGAAATATTTACATAAGAAGAAAGTGCTACAATGTATTCTTTGACAAATGGGTTTTCAAATGGCACATTTGACAGTAGGACATTTAAAGAAATTACCTATTTGCACAGGAAATATCCCTGTTACACCAAGGGCCAAACCCACTGCAATTCCTCTGGCACAAAGAGAAGCTGGGAGTTACCCAGTACTGGCATTTCTTACTCTGTAATTATTCACTTCTAAAGTATTACACATTTCTACATATGTTCAGCTGCTTTCTCTGGATGCTGTTTAAAAAGGAAGCCCAAACAGAGAATGTCCTCTCACACTTACTACAAATCTCAAGCCAGTTTAACTCAGGCTCAAAAGAAAAGCAAAACTCTACACTGTTCCTTGCCACACATTTGTGACCCTGACCTAAAAAAATTAAAAAGGATCCCACCTGTTACACCCAACTGTAGAGTGGAACTGACAGACCGAAACATCCGAGTATACACCCCCTTTGATGCTGTAAGAGCAGCAGCAAAAAAAAGTGCCCCACTTTGCAAGTTCAATAATCCCACAGCAAAGAGTAAAACACTTCCGTAGCAGATGTATGCTAGAAGGTCACAGTAATTAAATTAGAGCACAGCTCTTGCTGCCTAGCTCAGGAGACCAAAAAAATAGCACAATAGCATTGGGTTACAAAAAGGTGAGAGATACAAAGAAACCATTAGAATCTGCCAAACCTCTGTGCCAAGGGCCAAGGACATCACGGAAGGCACTCCTTTTAGCTTTTCCCGTGTGTGAGCTCATTATATCCATCAGTGATGCAGAACTCTGAGAAGGCCCAGTTTCAGACAAATAAAAATAACCAGCAGCTTGGATCATGTTGCATTTGTGCAGCAGAGGGGAGGAAGGTAATACAGAGAAGAAATTATATTCCCATATAGTTACTAACAAGCTTCCTTCCTCGGATACTTGATCAAACTCTAGATTACAGACAGATCTCAGTGCTTGGTAACAAAATTCAGCCTTTAAAAATTTCTGTGTCTTTTATGACTCCTTGCAGTAAATTGCACAGGTTTTACACGGTTCTAAAAATAAAACAAAGTTGCTTCTTTTTATATAAATTCTGTGCAGCAATTTTTTTTTCCCTAAACAGAGCTAGAAATCCTACTTCCAGCTAATTAGGAAGATTCAACCAACCACCCAATTTCTGAAACGTCAAAACATCCTGAGATCTACAAGATTAAACAAGATTTATTGCTGCTTCTTTTTTAGCCTTCTGTCAACTACTCAGAAACTAACATGCTAATTGCTTACATTCAACCACTACGAGTTGCGTGTTTACTCCAATTAAAACAACCTGAGTAGGTTACTATGGAGCCAGAGTCAGGAATACTTATTTTATCATCAGATCACACCTGATCTTCCTAGACCTGCTGGACAGGCACATACCTATTCAGAACAGCTAAAATCCTGCTGGTTGCACCTAGAGGAGACTTTAATTTACTGAGGCACCACTACACAGTGCCAGTCAGTAGAAGAAAAACCAAATATAGCACTCAAAATCTTCACAAGACTGTGCTCAAAATCTTGAGCATTTAAGAACAATTCAGGAGGAGTAAAAGACACTAAAAAAAAAGTCACACTGATTATGGCCCACAAAAATAAATCACACAAACATATGTTATGCTACATTGCAAATGCTACTTAAGAATGCACATTAAAATTAATTTCCTTGGGAAAGAGAAACTTATCTGCATTTTTTAAATCCCTTACCCCAGCAAAAAGAATAACTACTGACATGAATGAACTAGCAAGTGAAAAACAGCAGTTATTTTTTTTCCTCTAACAGTGGCTGTACTCATCTAAACAAAAGCCCAGTGTTTATTCCTTTAAATGACTTTGTGTTGCAGAAGTAGCTACTGAAGCCATTTTCTTACCATGAAGCATCTATAATGAACACCAGAAACTGGTAAATGACAACAGCAATTTTGAAGAGCGTCTCAGCATCCTGGTGAGAGCTGTTAGGGACGTTCCAAGCTCCAACACTAATTTGGAAAGGCCGGAAAGTTACAAAGGCACAAGATGCCCTTGGAGCTTAATGTAAAATTCATCAAATATTCCTCTGTAGTTGTCTCACTGGCCAGGACAACTGTGCCTCTTATTGAATTTCAGGTCCTGGCGAAAAATAAACACTCATTATTTTTAGACTTGACCTATCAGTTTATTTTTTTTCCTGGATAATTATCTAAAAATATTTTCCAAGGCTTTTTTAATCCTAGAAATGCACCCTCATGGTTTCTAAAAAATAATATAATGTTAGACTAAAGAACATGAAAATGTCACAATTATTTCAATATCAATAAAGAAGCAACTGTGGTTATTTGCAACATTCCTACTGTAACTATTTCGCTTCCTAGGAGGTTTTCTAACAAAATGAAGTAAAATTAAAGATGAACCTGATCTTTCAAGTTTCCTGTTATGAGCAACTATAAAAGCACAGGACTTCAAAAAAGCAAATATGTTTTTTCTGTTTATTTGCCCAATAGAGCAGTCTTGAGGGAATTAACTGCTAGCATACTGATTTTGTAATAAATGAGACTTGAAGCCTCACTGCAGAATGTATCCCAAGACAACTGTTCTCTTTGTGGAGCTGCTGATGGTACCTCATCACTAAACATCAATCAGGCAGACACAATTCTGACAACAAATGAAAGACACTAAACTTCAACTAGGCAGATCCATTTCTGACAAGAAATGAAACTCATGCAGTATTCTTTAAAGTGCTTCCCCAAGAGCATTTTCCATACACTAAAGGCTTTCATGCTAAGATCAAGTTTAAAAAGCATGTATGTGACTATACCCCTGGACTGAGAAATGTATAATCCCCCTCCCATTTACAGAAGCTTTTAGTAGAGGGCACTTTCAGCACTATGTGCTGATTGCTGAATTTACTTACAATGAACTCATTATGTTAGAAACAAGTTTGTTAACAGTACCTGCTTCCTCCCAGTTTCTATCCCCTGCTCCTCAAAGTGGGTTGGGTTACATTTCCATTTTTTCCTCACGTATAAACAGCTAAAACATCAAGTATGGCCTAAATTCTCTTTGACCACAGAAACAGCACATGCCTCCCTGGCTTTTAATGTCTGCCAAAACTCTGCCCTGACTGTGGGACCCCCTCCTAGTGACTCAAATCAGGTGCAGGTGATGCAAAGTCCAAGATGTCTCAAAATCAGCTTTCTACTCGTTGGCCCTGACACAAAAGCCTCCCTGTAGCATGAGAGGCCTCAGCAGGAAATTTAAATGTAAAAGTTTGTGCACAAAGAAGTGAAGAGAAACGATTCTGCAACTATTTCAGCCCTTCTACTACCTGTTTAGATTGCTTTCCAAATAAAACACCAATCTAAATCCTATTTTCCCCGCTGTATTAAATTAAACATTACCTTCTCAAACTTTCAATTTTATATTACTATACAGTTTACCATATCATGATTTTACATCTATATTCTACTTTGTACTATGCAGACTACTTCATCGTTTTTGCAGCACTTCTAAACTGATGTGATTCTTCCCATTATAAAGATGCTTGAAAAGGTTCAAAAAGAATTAAAAACAAATGCTTTCTTATTTGCAAAGCCAGCAGCACTGAAGACAATGCGTTATCAACAAGGAATAGTTGGCTATGCTGTGAGCAGAACCAGTACAACATGCATCAAGCCTATTAACTGCACTCACTACCCTCTATCTTCGGTTTGTGTTTTAATGAGCAAGTTTATCCTCCTTACTCAGTCACAAGGGTAACCTTACTTAGGATTTGTCCTCTAATTTCTTGCAGAGATGCAATTACCAGAGAGGAAAAACAAGCCATGGTACCTGAAAGAATAGCTGATATAATCTACCCATGATAAGACAGCAATTTGTTTTGGGGGAAGAAACCAAAACCCCAAACAAAACCCAACACAAAAACCTTGATCCAGAACATCATGAAAATGCCCGAGAACACTCTCAGCACATGGTATACTTCTCAACTCTACTTAAAAGATAAACATCACTTTGCATAAGCTGGAGAGATCTTCTGAGCAACTTCTTCAGACAAGCTGGTGCTTCCTGACAGCTTAAGAAAGAAGTCTTCTATTTTAAAAGAGAAAACCTGGAACAAAGCCCCAGCTGCCATGTGTACCTGCACCGCGCTCTCTCCTATGACTTGACGAATTTCCCTCAGTGTCTGGTAGTGCTCCAGCAGGTGATCACCACATATTATGTCCACCTGTGAAAGAACACAAACACAGTCAAGTTCAACTACCTTTGTAGTAGCAAAACCATATCTAAGCCCTTTTAATTTGATTAGCAGAGTTCAATTCAGCACGTTAGACATTCAAGTCATCTTCACCTTTTTTGTCCAAACGCCTTTAGCATGCACAGGGCTACTGCACTGCCCTAATGCCCCTCACCACATGGCCCTGACTTCGGGCTCACTGCTGGAACAGAGTGGACAGTTTATTGTTTCACTCACAATTTGGTGCACCCACTGAAAGAAGCTGTTTAGTAATAGTTGTAATGAATTTAATGGGAATTTAGGTCATGTATTACAATGATCCCTAAAACATCTGGAATCATTCATCACATCAGTTGCAAAAGACAGCTGTTTGTCCTGCTGGCAGAAAGTGCGCCATTGCTACCCTCATTCTTACCTTGAGTGAGAAAACGTGACTAAGTTCACTTAATATGCTGTTTGAAAAAAGTGTTTTAGTCTCCCTGTATGCCCCTGTCAGCTGGTACATCACACAGTCCTCCTTTAACATGCATTCAGTCAGTATTTCTGGGATGCAACTGTAGGACATACTCAGCACTTCTATGCATTGTCCTCTTCTGCAGCTAAACTGTGTCAATGCCGTATGCAATTTCAGACAAGGCACTTTTTTTTAAGTAACTGCCCACAAAACCAGTAATTTTGTGGAAAAAGAAAACACAACAAGGTATTCTGAATTCTTTGCCTGGACTATTACAAAAACTAGGCTTCTTTATAAAGTTTTATGAATTTGCTGAGCATAATGCAAATCCGCTCTTTAACATTCCAAATTAGAGCAGCACTGTTTCTCTCTCAACTGCAGCATGGTTAAATTTTCCTTATGGGCAATTTCTAGATATGGAAGTGAGAGTGCTCTCGTTTGTGAATTGACAAAACCTCAAACTGAAGTTAAGAGCATTGACACTGAGCTGTCTCACAGCTTTCTGCAAGGAAATTGTCTAAGCTCTGCCCCTGCAGCAGTCGGGGAGCACACTGCAATATCATGACGTATTCTCTTCTGTGGCCACTTTCCAGGACAGGATGCACTCTGTGCTGCAGCTATTCAATTCCCCTGGATTTATGTTCTTCTGCATGCTGACCCACTATCTCTCTCTTGTTCTTCATGAAGAGATTTGGCAAGATTTATGCCTCATGCTGGCAGACCACATTGTTCTGAGACTCAGGAACACAGGAATTCTACTCCTCAGAGGCTCAAAAGGGACTAATTTACTTCACCATCTGTATCATATGAGGACGATGTAGAACACTCTCTTTATGTTGATTCTTAATGTGCAGAAGATGTAACCTGCTTAGCATTATTTCTGCTTTTAGCTTCTAGAAGTAAACCAGCAAGTAAAAACCAATCCAGATGTAACATTAATTACTGATCCATATATGCACAAATACATATATTGAACATCAATGTTTAATGCATTTAACACGGCTTCCTTTTTGAAAACTGGCTAGTTATTTCTGCTGTCTTCCATGCATTTTAGCCTCTACAATTATTACTGCAGGAAGACAGACATGTCTGCTTTGCTTTCCAGTGATACATGAGTTTAATTACTTTTGCTTTATAAGCTTATTTTAATACTATAAGGCACTGAAAACTCAAACCTGCTCCCACTGAAACGTATATACATATATATTTTATTTATTCTAAAGAAACAGAAAATCTAATCTGTTTGACCAATATAAGATGCAAACACAGTCGCAGCTGCTGACAATCTCTCGAAACAGAATTCGAATGCTTGTTCGAAAGTATCCCATTGTTGTACCTGCTGCTCCAGTTTCAAATGACAGTCATTAAAGAGCCAGTGTCTAATAATCAATTGAGAAGAGTTTTTCACATTTATTGTACTAGAGTGCTCTGAATACCAAATGCCTAACTCTCCTATAATTCTAGCACCAAAGCCTGAAATTCTGCCTGCTAATTGTTCTGCTAGAATTCATTCTATAAAGACAAAAGAATGAAATATATACTAAAAAAAAAAAATCCCAGTTCAGTGTGAAAATCAGTTGTGAAATGTGTCTCAGAGGAATCCTTGTTTAGGAATTAATATGCTGCATTGCAAAAAAAAGGCACAAGTGCTATAGATTTTCTAAAATTTCAACTGATTGGTAAAATTGAAATCAGCTGGTACTGATTGCTTGTGAGTAATAAATGTAGCTTGACCTTTTGCTGAACAGAAGCATGAAGATGTAGCTGTTGAATACTCAGTCACTTGTCACAATTTTTATTAAAATAAAGCAGGTTTTCTATTATGCCATTTCTTTTCTTTAGTGGCATGTCTGCTATAAGAGCTATTCCTCTAAAAGCCACGATAACAGACAATTATAAATTCATAATCACTAAGTAAGACAGAAATAAAACCAGAAAAAGTTCATATAAGGGACACCCCATATAAGCTTCATCCCAGGGGAGAATTTGGCCCAGAAAACGGTAGACCTCAATAAATAGTTTCTATGCCAACCCTTACTACCCAGGGAAGGGCAAGGAAAACAGAGAGTTTTAGAGATTGACATGAGTATTTGGGCTAGTTATTCAAAAAGCTGCCAAAGCTTCCCACTTCCCCAGTAAATAGCTGCTATTTACTTTTCAAAGGTACCGGATACCTCTCTTCCAGGGTTTAAGACTGGCATAAAGAAACTGCATCAACAGTTACAGTGTATGAGCACAGACTTCCTTTCTTCCAATCTTCCCCCAGACTGCAGCTCACACACACACTTTCAGGAATGCAAATCTGGTAACGGAACACTTCTATTCCATAAGCTACGTTAATGCATTTGGACCAGCCAAGCCACAAGTCTTTCAGCAATCTCTCTCATCCTTACAGAATGAATACCAAGAAGGGATACTGCTGCTGCAGGATGACATCAGAGGAAATCAGACTGTAAAGAAAACTTCTGCATCACATCTTGAAGACAAGATCTAAGGGATTCTTAAACACCATAGACTGCATTTAGCTTACATGAAATGTTACCTACTCAGCTATTGATAGCAATTCCAGTTTCTCAAAAACAATTTTCAGCCTCTCCTAACAAATTTCAGCAAGAATATTCAAGAAAGACCTTGTAATTAGAAGTATACATAAACCTTTACAGAAAATTATTCATTGCCCAAAGCACAGAGATCAAAACAAAGCATCAGAAAGAATAAACTACAGTCTACCAGCTCAAGCAGCAGATAAAAATGAAGCCATAACCTTCAGATAAACTAGGAAATTTGAAACATACTCCATTTGCAAATTCAAAATCAGAAATATGAAAACAATCTGAAGCCTCAGACTAGGAAAAAAAGAACAAAGGCAGTGGCTTCAGAATTACTTTTTAGACTTATATATACTGTCACGCGCGTCAGCTGGCTTATTTCACCTTTTCATTAACCTCAATCTTGTGCAGATCAGTGAAGAAGGGCGAGTATTGGCTAACACTTCACATGAACAAATTAAGCCGAAGAGGCCCAAGCACAGTCAGTAGTTCAGGAGAATGGGTAACGCACCTATCACCTGGTCACTGAATCAGCTCTAACAGGGAATGAGTAAAACATTTACCCACTAATAAGAGATTATATCTGTCTGGCAAAGTCCAAGTAGAAAGTAACTAATGGGGGAAAAACATTCAAGTTAGCTCTGTTAGATGATCTCAAGATTGCAAAATCTGAAAGACCTCCACATATGGGCTCGGTTTTATTATGAGAAATGATTATCTGGAATTTCCAAGACAGATGTTCAGTGTTCCTGAAAACTGAGATCCTGATGTCCTACTTAAGAAAATAGAAACAAATAAAACAATTCATTCCCCTCGAATAAACTACAACTCGATGCAAAAAGCTTCTCTAGCCTCATTTTGAGGATACTTTTAATTTTTCAAAATATCAAGTCACCACCACCTGAAAGCTAGAGACTCTCACTGAGAGGAAACCAGCAAATGAAAATGCATTACTTCCTCAGCATGATTAATAATTTATATCTGATTTGCTTTGTCACCACTGAAAAGGTAGGCAGTATGAATAAACACTCATTACTGAGGCACACAGCCACACTGTATTGTCTCAGACACCTACTGCTGTATGAAAACAGCTTTAATGCCAAACCCAGCCCTTAAGTTCCACCATTTCCCTATTCACATCAGTATCAGCTTGATTTTCCAATAATTGACAGCTTTAGGAATTATTTACACCTTACAGAACTCCCACATTCTTTCCCAAAAGAATGGTTGCTGAAATACAAGGAAGAATTGAAAAACTGGTTTTGACATGCAGTTCCTCTCAAAATGGTTGAGAAATATGAAGATTAATTCTTTTGTTCCTTTAAATTCTTATTTGGAGGGAAGTGTCTATATTTGCATTCACATCTTATCATTCTTTCTTAGCCCTTGTTTGCATTCAGTTAAGTTTCACTGTTATTCAGCTCCTGCCTTCATATACTCCCACATTCCCACACTTTCCTGTCCAGTTTTATCTTTGAAACAGCAGCATCTCTTGGTTTTGAATTTCATCAGCTGAAACCTTAAATGGCACTTTAAAAACTCTATCCAATTAATAAAGTATTACAAAAACTTAAACAGGTTGCAAATGAGCTAGGAGAATTGTTCCTTGCAGATCACAACATTTCAAACAATTAGTTTTTTAATCCTTACTGCATTAAAATAATCTAACATTACTTCTAGAATCTAAAGAACAATGGAAATGTCTGTCCAAAGCAGAGGCATTAACACTGACTACAGGGAACTTGTAAGTGCCACTGCAAGTGCACACCTGACAAGCAGGGTCCAGATCCATTTTTCTTCTGAGGAATTTCTCCACATGTCCAATTGTTGCCTCCCCAGAAACACGTACAAACTTCTTTTCCAAAGGCTGCAAAGAATAAGTAAAGATTTTAAGACAATGTACATTTTCAGCTCTCATCCCTTGTAAACTCCAAATGCAAGTGACAGTCCAATAACAAAGGGAGACAGCTTGAATTTTTGGACCTTTCTCTGATCTATTTGCAGATTACCTCATAGGGAAAGAAAAAAATATGTATTAAGACTCTGTGTTCAAACTTCCCTCTGTTTAAAACATTTAAAAAATAACCAGCAACTGACTTCAGTCTTATTTTATTTTAAGAACTTCTCCCCCCACAAAGATTTATTCATATGAAGCACAAGAAAATTTCCTAAAGTTTCCACATTTTCTCCAAATCAGGCTTGTATATCAAACACAATTCAGATATTTAAACCCCATCATTTTATGATGCAAGGAGCTTAAGTCCTTTAGCATTCTAGAAGTAGTTTGGCTCATTCTGGAATCAATGTAATAGCCCATGAAATTCCAGAATCAACTAAAATATACTACTAAGCAGAACACAAAGGCAAGACTAGTCCGAAATCTTTTTGCTTTTTTCTAAATACTTACACAGACAGGACTGCAACAAGGAAATATTTGTTACACTAGACTCAAGAACTTTAACGGTCTTCCATTCTATGGATTACATTTTAAACAGCTGATATGGAAGACTACACAAAAAGGCACAAAGACAGAGCAGATGACTGCATTCAGTGTGATAAATGGATTACTTTTTGTGTCAATTGATTGGATTTTTATGTTGACTTCTGAGCAGATGTGATTTACTACCTAGGTTCATCGTATTTTTTCAAAATAAAAGAACGGGCTGAGGGTCATGGACTACCTTTGAATTCAATCAGGAATTTGAATAGGTATCCACGATAACTGTGCTTTGGGAACAATAGCTTGGTTTATTCATGTGCAAGAGCTAGAAATTACGGTCAGACCTGATCTGGGGACCCTGCTGCTGCAAGCTTGATGATGCTAAATTTAGGCTTGCTGCATATATAAATCAGTTTATGGCCATGGACCTGTTCTTTACTCCCCTGTCCCCACTTGAAAAAGGACAGTTGAAACCCCTTATATATTAAGTATAACTTCTTATATATATTATAAGCCCTTATTGATATATTAAGTTCTCCATCTAGTTCTCGTAAGGAAACTTCCCTTAAGGGTGGGGCATCACAACTGCCCTGTTTTGTGTGGCCCAAAACAATCAGGACAAACAACAAAGAAGAAAGAAGGGCAAATGTGAGTCAGAAAGGGTAGGAGGTGATATAAGGGCAAGAACCTGAAAAAAAATACTGTGAAATGTAAGGGTAAAAAGAAGAAAAAATGCTGGATAGGCATGATGTTATATAACAATAGGTTTGAAAGTACACACTGCAATCCAAGATTGGTTATTAGTATGCTGATGAAAGTTCAGGCTGCATTCAGTGTATGAAAACCAAACTAAACTAAACACATTCAGGGTATACTTGTTTCTGGAGCAAACCATAAGAGAAAAATTCAAATCACATCTGTACCTTAAAATTCCCTGCGCCTTCGTTAGCTCTGGAAATAAAAAAACAAGAGTAGGGTAAACACAGTCAATATTGCTAAGGTAGACAGCTATTAATATCCTCAAGCTCTTTATAATAGTGAGTTATTGATTTATGAGTCTGGAATATCAAGCTTATTTTCCCAGTTCAGGCTCCAATACATGAAATAACATCAGACTAAATTTATATATATTTTTCTCCTATCCCTTATTTTTCTGCTCAATTTTTTCTTGTGAATTCAGCTACTTATGGCTTTAAGGTTTGTCTGCTTGAAATGGGAGTAAAAACCAACACAGCCTAGAGTCATTTTTAAACACAACATTCATTTTCATAGGAGTTGGTTGTAATATTAATGCTGCTTAAATATCCATACTTCATGGTCCTTGATATTTGACACTTTAACAGACAGTACCTTAGAAGTACTAACAGAACACACACAAACACCTAAGGGGCTCCCTGAGCCAGCTGCTGGCCTTCCAGACTATTTATATGACAATATTAATGCTACCTCAGAACTCAGAAAAGCAGTGTGTGTGTCTCTGGAATGTGAAATGCACACAAAGGTGGCAAATGACCAAATTCCCAACTGGCTTCCACCAAGGTTCACTGATTTGCACATCCTGAGCCACTGATCATCTATACTCCACACCTTCTTCTTGTAGTGTAACATATAAATTTGTCACTTAATTAAACCCAATCCACGACACTTCATTATTCTTGCACTGCATTAGCAAGTAAGTACACAAAAGAGAGAAATAATGAAGTATATCTGCACTGGAGAAGGCAAAAATCAAACATCACTATAAATCAACTGGTGTAGCAAACAAATGTGCAGGCCACACATTAGCACAGCACTTCAGGTTACTGTAATTGAGCATCTCCACCTCTAAATATGTACCAGATACCAGAGTTAGGTAAAGCCATCACGAGTTAAGAAACAAAGAAAGAAAAGCTTTTTCACTGCAGCTGTCCACAGTTCCACAGCCACAGGTGACTAGATTATATACTCTAAAGACACAATAGAGACAGTCAGAATTTTGAAGTAACAATTTCTTCTGGCTGGTCCAATCTATTCCAAGTTTGCTTTATCCAAAATGCTTTATTAATCTTTCATAACCAAGATGAACTCTTTGATTTTGACCACAGAAGAAGAAAAGACATTACATTTAAACTCAAAAAATATCAAAGAAAATCAAAGGTTAAAGTCATTAAATTAAATAAATACAAAGTGCATGCTGTTAAGCTATCATCATTTTTTTTGTTAGAAACATTGTGTGCTTCCCCCCATATAAGTAACAAAACTACACTGGACAGTTCCACCGAGTATAGATAGTATTTGTACAGTATTACCCGTTCACTGCGAATGCTGGAATGGAAGTTTAAAATAAAACCACCAGAAAAGCAAATACAGCAACACAGGTTCAAAAGTCATGCTGTTTCTTAGGCAGACAAAAGTTTACTAGTTTTAAGGTCTGAATTGCCTGTTACCTTCTTCTTGCTTTGAAAAACCATAAATATCCTTGCTGAGAATCAGAGAAGTGGAGAAGTAACTAGGAGGTTTTCAGAGGGGACATCTGAACCAAACTGCATCTGATCCTGCAGTCACAACAAACTAAGGCAGCTTTCCTACAGAGTCACTAAGTGATCCAACCTGAAAGGGAGACCTAATATCTAATTCCTGGTTTTTAAAGTAATTTCACATGTGCAGTTATCATTGAGCAGGTGTTGGGGCTGTTGATGTGGAACCAATGCATGGTCCTCGTGCCCCCTCTGCCACCCGCTGACCAGCACAGCAGTGCCTGGTCCCCTCAGAACACTAGATACTACAGTTTTAGTAATGACTCCCACTGCTTTCAGCTGTGCTTGTGAGCATTCAGCTGCAAGGCAGGCATGAGAAAATGAACTGAAATTAAGTCGGGTACGTGGACTCACAGTGTCAAAGATTTTATATTATTTGAAAGGAGCTGAGTGCTTGCTTGACATTAGTAGCAAGAATTGTTTGTTAGGCCACAAGTTGAACTCTACTTGAACTACATAGCTCTGTTGCATCAGTCAAAGATGGGTTACAGCAAAACCTGCAGCTAACAACCTAAACATTAACAAGAGTTAGAATACACAAAGCTAGCACCTTAAATATTATTTAAAAACTATTAGCAGAAGTAGGCAGCCCATAAATTGTAGTATATGAACATTAACAATCATATTACAACATGGACCACTGACCAAAACAGACTAAAGAAGACGTGAAGACAATCACACAGGAAGCACTAAGTGATGACACAGTGAACCAAAGAAGAGCGAGAAGACCCCAGACCCTAAAATCACTATTGGTCTGGACTCTGGTGAGGGATGGGGAGTTTATGTTGTAAGAGTGTAGTTGCCCAGGGATTTCCTTCTTTGTGGTCCCTCTAGTGAGGTACCACCTTGAGCTACCAGATGACTGATTTGTGCCAGTAAACCTGTCTAATGGAGCTGAGAGCCTGATGTCAAAACTTTAACACACAAGGATATTCTATAGCACACTCAAGTACTGTTCCCTAGAGGTTGAGCTTTAAGATCGTCCCTTCCCCTCTTGCAGTCCCACTCCCCACCCATTTAAAGAAATAAAGAAGACACACTATGGGCAACACAAAAATAAAGCCAACAAAACAGAAAACCATATGCCACCCCCCACCCTACCAAAATTTACCCATGAAGAAAATTTGTTCTGTACTTGGAATAAAGTGACACACAGTGGAGAAACTGGACATAACGTGTAAAAAGATGTCTACAAAGAGTGGGGCTGAATCAAGATACGCTTTGCCAACAAAACTTCTGAGTTTCCGAGGGCTTAATTTTATGTCATTTGTGTAACAGTTTGTTATGATTACATATTGGAGATCTCAATGTTTTGTTCAGATAAATTCAGGCCAAAAGGCGGCACAATCTGGGAAGAGGTAAGAATTACATTTCCCACAAGCCAGTTTAAGAACAGCCAGCATTAATGATACTGCCACCTACAGGGATGAGGGGACTGGAACAGACAGGAATTCCACCGTTCAGTTTACTGAGACTGCACTACTTTCTCAAAACCAAAACACATATAAGTTTTAAAACGACACTTTCTGGGAAGCTATTTTTATAGAAAGACACATCTTAATCATTTAATTATTTGCATTATCTAGCTATGATTGGCTGCCACTATTGCACTATAAGTTAAAACCAACTCCCCACTGCTATCCGAGATGAGGAAATGCACATGTAATGAAAACCAAGGGCTAGCTAATGGTCCAACACACACAAGCAGCACCTTCATGTCAGCCAGCTGCTCTTACATTTGCCCACAACTCACCCAATAAACTCCAGAAGTATGGAGATGTCAAGTTCCGGTGGAATCCGGAACACTGAGCCCAGAACCTTCCGAGGTCTTCCTCTGCTCGTTGGAACAGGCTGTGGGACAGCTAAAATATTCAAAAAGCCAAAATGCACGGACAACTTGAAATAAAAGCAGCATAAGATGCTAATATGCACCAAGCAAAACAGAAGAACTCATCAGGAAAAAAAGCCCATACAATTAATTCTATTTTTATTACTAAATCAGCTCTTCCGACATTGTATGCTGTGCATCTGAACCAGCCTTTCAGTACTTCCAGCAAGGCCCTTCTCCTAAGAGCTGTTTGATAGTAAGACACAAAATACTTAGAATAATCCCTCATCTGTGGGCAGACTTTGAAGTTCTTATTTTTGCTCCTTTGTCATGTCTATTATTTATTAAGGTCCAGAAAATAGAATTAATGCACATTTTAGATACATTACCTGATCACAGGCAAAATATACAGCTTAAAAAATCCAACCCTTATCTGGGTTTAAGTGTTGCCAATTCTATCTGGTTTTGTAATCTGAGATCTGTGACAAGTTATAGCAGTCAGATAACCAAGAATTCCAAATTTCCAATATCACACATCTCCTTCAGTTGTGAGCTAATACTTTAAGGCCTTAAAAATAAATTATATAGTAGGCAGTTCCCTAACAGTGTCCCCTAAAGTGATTACAGCTCACCTGGTTTGGGCACTTCTAATCCTCTTTCTTTATAGAAGTCATGCATTTGTTTTTTCTCTCCTGAAAAAAAGAAAAGCCACGATACAGATTGAAATGTTATTTCAGATGCTGAAAATATCCATATGCATTCCAATGGTGAGAACAGTAAAAACTTTTCAGTTTCCTACAGACATTCATCATCACTACTATTCCATGTGAGGCTGAGACACTGAAAACACTCAGAATAAGATTTTGTTAGCAAAAACTAGGAAGAAATCAGAGAAATTTGCCATAAATCATACTGAGCTGCAAAACTCAGAACCCTTCTGTATCCACGACTATTTTTTATACTTTCTATAGTCCATACATATCCACTACATTGTTGGCTCCCAAAGTTGAAAGTAAATGCGATGAGACAGTGAACACATTTAAAATCAGACGAATAAATATGGCAGCGAGGAAAAAATAAAAGCATTTGAGAGAATCACTCTTATCAACTTATTTCAACCAAGCCAAGTCAACTTGTTGCACAGAATATGATATACTTCTACAAAAATAAGAGGCATAACTATGAAATATTGCCTGGATGTTTACCTGAATACAGAGACACCTGTGTTTCATGAGATAGGGTACACACTGCTACCCTTAATAGCATTTAGCAGCCAGAAAGGTGCCAGTAGTCACAGGTAATTCATTAAGATTTAGAACCAAACATTACAAAACTATTTTAAAGAGTCCAGAGGGCTTTTAATTACTATGTTTCCTGTTCAGTCTTTTCAATCTCCATATGGTAATAAAGAAAGGGACTTACTTTCCTCAAGATTGACAACTAATTTATAGACTATGTCTTGCAGCTGCCGGTCCAGTCTATGAAACAGGAAAAAAAACAACAACAACAAAAAAGAAAAGAAAGTCTTTGGTGCAACATAAAAGGGTTTCATTTCATTTTATTGTAACAAAGATGCAAAATATGCTGTTGAAACATGACATACATAAAGAGTGATAGAGCAGCAACTCCACATCTTTCAAATACACATCTTGACAGGAGAGCTCCAACAAAAGTCATGTAAAGCTCAAAGCACCACCCTTCATGAACAGCTCAAGAAGTTACAACTCAATTTTCAGTTTATATCATGCCAGCAAAGTTTCACCTTTGTATGATGCAGCTCATATCACCTCTAACACTGAGCAAACACATAAAAATAACTAGGATAGAACATAACAAACCCTAGAAATGGATACAAACTAGATAAAACAGTATACTGAGGTTTCTTTATCTTAACTATTGAGTATGAAACTTACATACACAAAGAACACGATATGTTTCTTGCAGCTGTTCCTTCATTTGAAATGAGAAAGAACTACAAGTCTGCAAACCAAAACACTTAAAAGCAAGCAGCAAATCTATAAAAAATGGCACAATTACCTGATATTATAAAGGGGCTGTGTCTGATGTACAACAATATTGCATTTTGGACATCTGTTGCTATAGTAGAAGTGTCTCACAATGCAGCTTTTACAAACTGTAAAGAAAAGAAACTCCATGGGAGTCACATGTCCATTATACAATGCCATCTGTTCAGGCAAGAGGAACAATTACACACAGACTTCCCAAACAAAATTTGTCAAGAGGCAAAATGAACCAAGTCATTGAACACTCCTAATGCAACTGATGCAAAGGTGGGTGGGTGTTCAATGTTGTAATTGTGTTATCTAGAACAGGAGTAGAACTAAGACAACAGAAAACCGACTGCTGAAAAGCAGCCTAAAAAAGGTTCAGTAAAAACAAGGTAAGAAATCACAACTCTGCCGTTTTCATTCTGTTTTACATGTACTTAAAAAACTCGGAAAACATCTAGAATAATTAACCTACTATCAAATCAGCTCCCTACCAGCCCTAAATTTTCCACATTTACCAGGAGACTTCTAAGAGACCACCATTGCTGCACTTGCAACATTATGTTGTCCTTACTAACAGTTGGGCTTTTTCCTAAAACTGTGCTGAATACTATGTGCTATATAACAAACCAGTCAACAGTGCCCCAAAAAAGGGATAAAAAAAAAGAAAAAGAGTTTTCCCTCTTTGTATTTTGAGTGGCTGAGAGGTCTAGGAAGCCAGGATTCTTGAACTCAGGTGGGAACATGGGTGTAGCTGAAAATCAGCTTCACAGAAAGGGTTTTATTAGTTTTAAGACAAAACAGTTCTGTTAGCAATGGAAAAGCTGTTAGCACTAGGATTGAGGGGAAGAAGAACAAGATAAGCACATTGAAATAATTTTTTTAATTACCCATCTATTTCCATTCATGAGATTATAGACGAACTTTCCCATGGGTACAGACCACAACTTCTGTTTCTGAACTGGTACTTCCATACAGGTATTTATGGAACTTTGTGAATTCACATCAACCACAGTTTAGGAAACTCTTTAGTCCACTATAAGCAGAGCCACTCAACTTTCTTTTCTCAGTTATATACTCAAACTCCTGGAGCCTACTTTAAAAAAAAAATTTAAAAAGTGTACATAGCAGCTCTATTTTTGTCTTATTTGGGCTTTTTCTTTTCTTACATAGTTTTCCCTCTTAACCTGGAAAGCAGATTTCATGATCGAGTGATTTCATGATTTTCTGATGCTTTAAGAATGCACAAATATATGTCCCTTATGGAACAGAATAAACACAACACACATTCACTTCAAACAGAATTATTTCTGTGAACCCAGAACATCTCAACACTGATTTTGTTTGAATTTGCAACTAAACTCTAAGAGAGATAATACTGATACTTACATGTGTGCAGACATTCTGTAATAGTTGTAGCATCAATAAAGTAACCTTTGCAAATGGAACACAGGATGTAAGGGGTCAACTCTGCGAGGTTTATCATCCGCTACAAACAACAAAGACAGTTTGTAAGAGTTTGAATACACAGGCTAAGCCATGAAATTTCCTGATTGCAAATTCCTAAATACCATAGCCTTAAACCACGAAAAAACAAGGGATTGACAGGCTAGAGGAATGGCTTTTTCTAAGAGGTCAACCACTCCTCAGATACAGATCTTTTCTGAAGACTTTCATCAAGTCTTCTAAATTGACCTTTTTGAGAATGGCAATCCAACTTGTTTCATGAATCATAACTAAAAAGCAAACTTTCAAACAATCATTTTGGGAGAAGTTCTTCTGGATAAACCCTTAATAAAATATCCAATAGTCAGTGAGGTTGAAGTGGATAGGGGAGCAAACAGCAGCATTATTTGAAAATGCTCATAAGGCGTGTTGGGGCCCCCAGTCAAGATATATAACGAGTTTATATCACAAGGGACAGCCATCTCTTGTTTCTACACACAGTTACAGATTATACAAACACATATTGAAGCAAAGACTGAAACTTCGCTGCTCTGAATTCTGCTCGCGAACTACACTTATCAGGAAAGAACGTAAGTGGTTCCACAACAACTTTCCCGTCTGAACAACAGTATTTCATAATAAGAACAAATTTTTCAATAGCAACGATTTGACACGCGTCTGAAGAAGGTAACACGCTGGAGTTTTACGTCCCGTTTCTTCTCGTCTCAAAGCCATACCGAAGGGCTTTCTTTCCCTCAACACCACCATTCATTTCGCCCACGTGCCACCGCCTACCACCCTCTCAGCCACGCCGAGAGTTTGTAGGGGCTTCTTTGGGACGAGACGGACAAAGTGAACTCGGGTAACAATAAAAGAAACATTGAAGAAAGTTATATAAACACAAAATGATGATAATAATAATAAAAAAATAATAAAAAGCCCATTCCCAGACGCGGGGCACGTCGGGAGCGGGGCCTGGAGAGCCCCGGGAACCCTCCCGCCCCTTTTACCTCCCGGTCGTCGTCCGAGTCGTGCTCCCCGTCATCCGTCCCGAAGCGAGCCCCGGCGTCCCCCTCCAGCTCCTCTTCCTCCTCCTCGTCGTCTTCGTCGTCGTCGTCGTCCTCGTCGCCGGTGGACTCCGAGCGGCTCCGCTGGAACTCGAAGGGGACGGAGCGCGACCCCGAGCAGCTGGGGGCCCCCTCCATGTCCCGGTCCTCATCGGCCGGGGCCGGGCCTGCTCCTGCGCCTGCTCCCGTTCCCGCTCCATCCCCGCCCGACGGCCCCGACACCCTGCTCTCCGCGCCCTCCTCCATGTCCACGGACCGGGATCACCGCGGGTCTCCCCACGGCGCAGGGAGCATGCGCGGAGGCACCGCGGAGCGCGCTGGGGAATGTAGTCATAGCGGACAAGGGGTAGCACCACAGCGCATGCGCTGAGCCACCACTGGTCTGCAGTCTTTATAGCCCGAAGGTTCTTTATCTTATTTTTTTTCTCAAGTGACTCTCTAGTGAAGCGGTGGCACACGTCTAATTTGTCGCAAAAGAACGTCAACCACAAGATACCAGTTTCATTCTAAATAACGTTTTAATTCTGTAACAGAATGAAATCGAAAGGACCTTAAAGCACAGTTCAAACCCTCTGCCGTGGGCAGGGACACCTTGCACTAGACCAGGCTGCTCAAAGCCCCATCCAACCTGGCCTTCAACACTTCCAGGGACGGGGCAGCCACAGCTTCTCTGGGCAACCTGTTCCTGTGCCTCACCACCCTCACAGGGAAGAATCTCTTCCTAATATCTAATTTACACCTTCCCTGTGTCAGTTTAAAGCCACTCACCCTTGTTCTGTCACTACATGCCCTTGTAACAAGTCCCTCTCCAGCTCTCTTGTAGCACTCTCCAGCACTCTCTTAGAGCACTGGAAGGTGCTCGGAGGTCTCCTCGGAGCCTCCTCCAGCCCGAACACCCCCAGCTCTCTCACCCTTTCGATGGGTACAAAAGAACCTCTGTTTAACAAACACCAATGAAAGAAGCAGTATTAGAAATACCTGGAAAACAGAGCGGCCCAGCCGTAATTAACCTAATTTGCAGCACGGCCGCTGAGGACCCAGAGGGCACACAGTCCCAGGGCCGTCACTGGAATCCTCCAGGAGCCCCGGGAAGTCCCTTCCCGAACGCGCTCCCACCGCCCCTCACAGCCCCCGCTGCCGCAAAGCGCTCCCGACAGCGTTGCAAAACGAAGCCGCGCGTGCCCGCGCAGGCGGTGGCGGCGCTGCCCTTCCTTTGCCCTCACTGTCGCAAGGGCGGCCGCGCGTGGCGGCGGCGCAAGATGGCGGCGCTGCATGAGGAGCCGGCGGAGGTGGCGGCGGCGCAGCCGGACCCCGAAGCGGGGACGCCACCGCCGCCCTCCGCGGCGCCCCCCGCCGCCACCGCCGCTCCCGCCGCCGCCCCGGCCGCTGCGGCGGAGGGAGAAGCGGCGGGGGGCGCTGGGGATGCGGCGCCTGCGAAGCCCGCGGCGCCCGGCCCGGCCGCCTCCCCGGCGGCGCTGGACCGGCAGACGCTCGTGGCCGTGCTGCAGTTCCTGCGGCGCAGCAACCTCCGCGAGTCCGAGGAGATCCTGCGCCGCGAAGCCCGCCTGCTCGGCGACGACCTGGGCGCCACCGCGCTCAGCCCCGCCAGCGCCGGGCTCCTGGTGGGCTCCGGCAGCGATGCGGACTCCGGCGAGGCGCTGCTCGGCCGGGGCTCCGGCGCTGCCGCCGTCGCCATCGGAGGCAGCGTCGCCACTGTCGCGACTTCAAGCCCCGGGGTGGCCGCAGTGGCCGCCGTGCCGCCTGGGAAAGGTGGGGCCCGCGGCCACTGCGGGGTCGGTGCCTCCTCCCGGCGGGACCCCTGGGAACGGGGTGCCCGTGTGCCCGGGTTTCCCCGTGGTGCTGAAACAGGAGGGTCGGTGTCAGGTCACGCCCCCGAGAGCCTTACCCGGATTTCTGGGAGGCCCGTGTGTGTGTCATTACCCATGCAATCCGTGGAGAAGTCCGGATCTCCTGGATCAAGGGACCAAGAATAGGGTGCCTTTCGTGTTTGAAAGGAGCACTGTCGAAGTGAGAGGTGCTTCCCCTCGTCTTTGTGTTCAATCTCGACTAACAGAGTAGCAGGAGACTCTCGGTTTCCACTGTAGTTAGCAGGGATGAGAACGGAGGTCTGATGTACAGGTTGCATTTTGATGGAAACATTAGGTGCTTGTAGATGAAGCTTTCTGCATTTCTTGATCGAGTTGCTGCGTACCTGAGATGTCCTTTGGATAATTAATTTCTAAGTATTGTTAATCAAGGTGTTCCGTGAGGCAGCTTTACAGAATAGTATAATGAAATTTTGGGAACTGATAGTCTGAGTTCCAGTAAATGTACATCATAAAGTCAGCTTGTTCCTGCCATCACCTGATAAGATAGTTTTTATGTAAAAGACAAGACAATTAAAGTCTGTAACGACTGCTGTGTAGAACAGAGCTGCCAGAGTGTTTAAAGTGTCCCTATTCTGTGACAGTTGCGAGGTGCTCTTAGTGAATTATTAATTAATTGTGAATTAATTAACTTAAGTTGCTTTTTTACTGGATGCAAAATAATTATCGTGGGTACGTCTTACATTCTGCTTCTCGTTTGAGAGTTTCTAGCCCTAGTGGTAAAGATAACTTATTCTGGTGATGCCAGTGGCTTCTTCCTTTACACGTGTAATACTGACTGAATGAGGCACGGGGTTAGATACCTTACAGGCAGCTGTTGGCAGGGAAAGCCCCAGAAGCTGCTGGAGGTGCTGGGAAAATTGGCTGCTGGACTGTAAGGTCCCACCACCCTCTCACCTGTGTGGCTTAGACGTGGTGCTGAGCAGTCACACAGCGTGTTTTGCCTGTTGTCTCACCTGACCAGCGGGTTGGGGCCACTGTTTGCTCACCAGCTCTTCCAGGCTGACAAGCTCTTGTTGTTTGCTGATGGTTTTGCAGTTGGAGGCGCCGTGGTTGTGGAGGATCAGCCGGACGTGAGCGCGGTGCTGTCGGCCTACAACCAGCAAGGGGACCCGACGCTGTACGAGGAGTACTACAGCGGGTTGAAACACTTCATCGAGTGTTCCCTGGACTGTCACCGAGCAGAGCTGTCTCAGCTGTTTTACCCTCTCTTTGTGCACATGTACTTGGAATTGGTGTACAATCAACACGAGAGTGAGGCAAAGTCTTTTTTTGAAAGGTAATTAATTTTCGTTTGTGCATTTGTGTCATTTTGTGTTCGCTGCTTTGGTTAAACCTGTAAGCTACAGTAGCATAGGTTTGTATATATATACAGATGTACACATTTTTCTTATTTAAAGTTGAAGAGATTTGAAATCTGAAGTAATGGTGCCATGGATTGCAGTAACAGTTCTTAAATTTCTGTCTCCTGTTGAAAGATGTGCAAACTACACGCTTTTGAACTGTCCATTGGCAGATTTTGAACCATGTTTATGGTGTGCTGATGGGCTCCTTGCTGCAAAAGTATCAATGAAGAGATGTTGCATCTTTAGGGAAGGATTGTGGGGTAATTTTTTAGCACTTGAAAATTGCACTGAGATGCCAAAGTAATGTACACTACAAGTATTTGCTAATATCATAGCATGTAAATTTAAATTCTTCAAATGAGATTAAAGAAGTTAATTGATGGCTAATCTGTAATTGTCTGTGCTCTTGCTATGTTTCATTTGTTTATTAATTGAAAAGAAAATTAAATTTAACTTGTTTCTGGATTCAGACCAGTTATGAAATACTACAGTCCGAAAGGATAACTTTGTCTCCCTCCAAATGGTCAGCAAAAATGGTTCTGTAATGGTAGATAGCTAAAATGCCCCTTGTCACAACCAGTTTATAACAAGTTGAGTAAAAATGGAAAACTCTAAAGATATGTTAGGTATTAGGTAATGCAAATGGAGAGGGAGAAACATGTAGACTGTAAAATGTATGTCATATAATGAATCAGACATAAATGCATCCAAGTAGTCTTGTGTAATAAAAAATGCCCTGTATGGTACCACAAATTAGGGTTTAATTTCTGGAAATAAACATTTAGCGTAACTGTTTACTTCAGGCGAGAACCCTTTGGGTGTATGAAATCCTGAGAGGTTCCATCCGTGTGTTCTCTTCATCGTGTTTTTTAACTGCTGAATGCTCCTACTGTGCACAGTAAATCACTGGTGTATCTTCGCCTGGATGAATTTAATTTCATTAAAAAAAAATCCCATATGTAGTCAGTAGCTTCCAAACGGTCCTTACATAGATGTTTCATATTCAAGCAAGGTACATAAGTGTGCCTTTAGGAGATAATGTTTTCATAATAAACCTTTGTTAAATTGTTTCAATAGGTTTCATGGGGATCAGGAGTGCTATTACCAGGATGACCTGCGTGTACTCTCTAGCTTAACCAAAAAAGAGCACATGAAAGGTAATGAGACCATGCTGGATTTCCGAACAAGCAAGTTTGTCCTGCGTATTTCCCGTGACTCTTACCAGCTCTTGAAGAGGCATCTGCAGGAAAAGCAGAACAATCAGATCTGGAACATTGTTCAGGAGCATCTTTACATTGATATCTTTGATGGAATGCCTCGCAGCAAACAACAGATAGATGCTATGGTTGGAAGCTTGGCTGGGGAGGCAAAAAGAGAGGCTAATAAAGCAAAGGTAGGAGGCAAAGATTTTTGCACTTCTATAATTAAACAAGTCTCCCTAGTTTTACAACTCTCCCTAGTTTTTAAGGGAGATCCCATAGTATAGGCTGACAGTTGTAACTTGAGATCTTAAAAGACAGCATGATCAGAACAAAGGAAGTGAACTGTACTAACAATTGTTGACAGGAGTAGAGAGATCAAGGTATATCACTGTTTGGTGGAAGAAGCTGCTGAACCTTTTGAGAGAGAACCTTGTGTCCAGCCCACTGACATAAACCAATTCATTAATTGCTCTGGAGTTTTAAAACGGACACCTGACTATTTGGCTTCCTCTTTTGTACAACAGATATAATTTTTACTTGCCACCGGTTGTTACTGCAAGGGATGTTTGTGTAATACCACAGTACTATACAAATAAATTAGGTAAGGTGTAGGGATTCCACTTTAAGGAAGAGCTAAGAGATGGTGGAAGAGCTTAGAGTTGTCTAGATCAGTTGCTGGGTAAACCAGAAGAACATGTACTATATTTGTTATGGGCTGAGCAGTAACATATGCAGGAATATTAAACAGCAGTTTTAAAGGAGCAGCTCTATTGCTTGGACTTTTACGCTGAAAAGTTGCCATTAAAGGATTAGTTTTTGGTGAGAACAGCAATTACTGTTTTGTCTTGTGTTTTTTATTGGC